TGTATATTATCATATCATCTGCAAATAGTGCTAGTTTGACTTCTTCTTTTCCTATTTGGATTCCTTGGATGTCTTTCTCTTGTCTTATTGCTCTGGCTAGGACTTCCAGTATTATATTGAAAAGCAGTGGTGAGAGTGGACATCCTTGTCTTGTTCCAGATCTTAATGGAATTGCTTTCAGCTTTTCACCATTGAGAATGATACTGGCTGTTGGCTTCTCATAGATGGCCTTTATGATGTTGAGGTATGTTCCTTGTATCCCAAGAATTTCAAGGGCTTTTATCATGAATGGGTGTTGCACTTTGTCGAAAGCTTTCTCAGCATCTATTGATATTATCATATGGTTTTTATATTTCTTTTTGTTGATGTGTTGGATAACGTTGATTGATTTTCGGATGTTAAACCATCCTTGTGCCCCTGGAATGAATCCAACTTGGTCGTGGTGAATTATCTTATGGATACATTGTTGGATTCTGATAGCTAAAATTTTATTGAGGATTTTTGCATCAGTGTTCATTAGGGAGATTGGCCTATAGTTTTCCTTTTTTGTGTTGTCCTTATTCGGTTTTGGTATTAGTGTAATATTGGCTTCATAGAACGTGTTTGGTATTGTCCCTTCCTTCTCAATTTTTTGGAAGAGTTTGTGAAGGATAGGCACTAATTCGTCTCTGAATGTTTGGTAGAATTCATTTGTAAATCCATCAGGTCCTGGGCTTTTTTTTTGGGGAGGTTTTTAATTACCATTTCAATTTCGCTGCTTGTAATTGGTCTGTTTAGGTGTTCTATTTCTTCTTTATCTAGCTTTGGGTGATTGTAGAGTTGTAGGAATTTGTCCATCTCCTCTAGATTGTTGAACTTGTTTCCATATAACTGTTCATAGTAGTTACTGATTATTCTTTTGATTTCTGCTGTGTCCGTTGTGATTTCTCCTCTTTCATTTATGATTCTGTGTATTTGTGCTTTCTCCCTTTTTTCCTTTGTGAGCCTGGCTAGGGTTTGTCTATTTTATTTATTTTTTCAAAGAACCAGCTCTTGGTTTCATTGATCTTTTGGATTGTTTTTTTAGTTTCAATTTCATTTATTTCTGCTTTGGTTTTTATTATTTCTTTTCTTCTACTGGTTCTGGGGTTTTTTTGTTGTTCTTTTTCTAGATCTTTGAGCTTCGAGATTAGGTTGTTTCTTTGAGTTCTTTCTTGTTTTTTGATGTGAGCTTCTATTGCTATATATTTTCCTCTTATTACTGCTTTTGCTGCATCCCATACATTTAGGATATTGGTGTCCTCCTTGTCATTCAATTCAAAGAATTTTTTAATTTCTTCTTTGATCTCCTCGTTAGTCCAGTGGTCTTCCAGTAGTGTGGCTTTTAATCTCCATGAGGTAGGATAGTTCCTTGCCTTCTTTTTATGATTTATTTCTAGTTTGATGCCTTCGTGGTCAGAAAAGATGGTTGGTATGATTTCAATCTTGGTGTATCTGTTGATGTTTGTCTTGTGCCCCAGTATGTGATCGATCCTGGAGAATGATCCGTGTGCGCTTGAGAAAAATGTGTACTCCGTTTTTTTTGGGTTTAGTGTTCTATAGATGTCTGTTAAGCCCAAATGCTCTAGGTCCTCATTTAGAGCTTTAGTTTCTTTACTTATTTTTTGTCTTGTTGATCTATCCATTGTTGATAGTGGTGTGTTGAAGTCTCCCACTACATATGTGTTTTCTCTGATGTCTGTTTTCAGAGAGGACAACAGTTGTCTGATATATTTTGGTGCTCTTTCGTTTGGTGAGTATATGTTAATGAGTGTTATTTCTTCTTGAAGTATTGTCCCCTTAATCATAATGTAGTGACCATTGGGGTCTCTTTTTATTTTTTTGAGTTTGAAGTCTGTTTTATCTGATATAAGTATAGCTGTTCCTGCTTTCTTTTTTGGCCCATTTGCTTGTAGGATTGTTTTCCATCCTTTGACTTTGAGCCTATTTTTATCTTTTGTAGCTAAATGTGTTTCCTGGAGACAGCAAAAGGTTGGGTTTTGTTTCTTAATCCAGGCTGCAACTCTGTGTCTTTTTATTGAAGAGTTTAGTCCATTTACATTTAGAGTTAATATTGCTATGTTAGCATCTGTATTTGCCATTATGTTTGTCTTTCCTTTGATTTTATTTATTTATTCTTTTAATAACTTTTTTTTTTTTTGGTCTTCTTTCGTTGTTATTCGTCCCTCTGAGGTTCTGGCTTTAGGATTCCTTGTAGTATTTTTTGGAGTGGGGGTTTAGTCGCAATGAAATTCCAGAGTTTCTCTTTGTCTGGGAAGGTCCATATTCTTTCTTCATGGAGGAAAGAGAGCTTTGCGGGATAGAGTATTCTTGGTTGGCATCTGTTTTCTTGGAGTCTGTTGACTATGTCCCTCCACTCTCTCCTTGCCCGTAGTGTTTCTTCAGAGAAGTCTGATGTCAGCCTGATTGGTTTTCCTTTGAATGTTATCTGTTTCTTCCCTCTTGTCAGCTTCATTATTTTTTCCTTGTCCTGGATTCTTGGGAGCTTTACTATTATGTGTCTTGCTGTGTTTTTCCTTTTGTCGTGGAAGTTTGGTGTTCTTCTTGCTTCTTGTATATCAATTTTCAGCTCCTTCTTCTCATTTGGGAAGTTCTCTTCAATTATATCCATGAATATTTTCTCTGTTCCTACATCTCTCTCCTCTCCTTCTGGAATTCCTATAACTCTTATATTTCCTTTCCTCATGGAGTCAGATAGTTCCCGAAGTCTTTCTTCATTCTTTTTCCTTCGTACTTCTCTTTCCTTTTCTGTTTTGGTTCTTTTTATTTCTGTGTCTTCAAGATTACTTATTCGTTCTTCCATTTCATCTATTCTGCTTTCATTGCTTTTCCCAGAGTTCTTTAGTTCCTCCATTAATTCTTTGATCTCCTGCATTTCTCTTACTTCCCTCTTTAGGGACTCAATTTCCTTCTTCTGATCTATCACTTTTTTAATCATGGCAATTTTAAATTCTCTTTCTGGAAGGCTCAGAAGTTCTTCCAAGTTGCTGTCGTTGCAATCTGGGGAGTGGTTTTCTTTTTGTGGTGTGCTTCTTTCCTGAGGAGTTTTTAGGTTGCGTGTGGTTCTTCTACTCCCTACTGTCTGTTTTCTAATTTGTCGTATGCGTTGGGACACTGTGTTGCTCGGACTGACTGACATCTTGGGTGAACTTCTCCGCTCCCCTCTGGCTCTTCCAGGAGCCATCTCTGTCTTCTGGGGGAGCTTTCTGCTGGTTTTAGGCAGTTTTTACTGAAGAAATGTCCCTGTTCTCAAATGGCGAAGCGGGATGCAGTCCCTGCGCCTCCGGTTTCAGGCACACTCTTCTGCGCACCCGGTCTGCCCCGGACGTGGGTGCCTGCTCCCTCTGTGGGCTCAGACTGCTGGTCGGAAGGGGCCTGGCGTGGAATAACTTCCCGGCTGGCCACTGGGTCCTCCAGAAACCTTCTGCCCTTTTCAAGCAGACTTAAGAAATGTCCTGTTTTATAGGGTGTTAGTGACTTTTTTTTTTCCTGGTCGCTAGGTGGCGCCAGAGATCTCTCCTATTGTCCTTGGGGGGCTGTTTTTCGCCTCCCCCCACCCCGTGGGACAGAGAACAGAGCGGGAATGGTAGGGTACACCTCAACAGCTTTGGGGTGCTGTGTCTGCCTTGTGCCCCACCGTCGTGGAGAAACCACGCCCCGAATTTTCGTGCCCCGGGTCTCAGTTCAAAGCCCTCAGGTCCAGGACGCGGGCTGTAGCCCAGTTCAGTGGCGCGGGAATGGCGCCTTTTGCACCCGGCTCCCGTGCCTGGGCGCCTGGTTCCTGCTTACTCAGGGAGGGACCTTCACCTCAGTGAGGACCTCCGTGCGTCTCCCCGCAAGCCTAGGTCGTCTCCCCGCAAGCCTAGGTCGCAGGCGCGGGGACCTGGGCAGCCGCGATCCCGGTCTGCACTTGCTTTTCAAGCGCGCCAGGCGCGCCGCGTTTCCCGCGCAGGCTTACCGGCAGCCCGGGCTGTGTGCGCGTCTCCCGGGGTCTTTGTTCTTCTCTAATGGCGCCCGGAGCCGTTCGCTCACCGCCGCGGCGGATCCTGCAGGGTTCGCCTCAGCTCCCGTTCACGGGGTGTGGTGGCTGCAATAGTTCCTTTCCGCTCACAGTCCCGCTTGCTGCGTCGTTTGTTCTTGTTGGTCGTTTTGGTTTGTTGTTTCCTCCTCTCTGCCGGTCGGAGAGTGCCGCCTCTGTGGGCGGGGGAGGGGAGCAGGGTTCTGCGCTTCCCTCCCTTCTAGTCCTCTTTTATGGCCACTTTCTTCTTCGGGCAGTTCGCTGGCGTCACCTGTTTATCTTCCGTGTCCCAGTTCTCACTGGGACCTGCCGCTTTTCCTCCCTATTCACTTTTTTTAATGGGAGATCTTACTCGCAGCGTCTCCTCGCCGCCATGTTGCTCCGCCCCCCTCTTGTAGGGCTTATTTTTACTTAAAGCATTCCCTTTTCTCCTAGATTGCAAGGGCATTAAGACAAAAATAGAAAAATGAAGCTAAGGGAAGAGAAGAAACCCCTCTCCCCACCCATCATTCCCATGGCTCAGGGAGAGCCACTTTTAATGGTTTGTTGTATATATAATCTTTGCTATGCAACTTTGTGTGCTTTTTAAAAACAGCAAAAATGGAGCATGTCCATATAGTTCTACGTGGGCTTCCTTGCATAATACACGGTGACTAATAAACTGTGACTATTTTTCTAGGTCAATTTATGCACATTTGAAATAGCCCTTTTAATGATCACATGGCCCTAGGTCTTCCTTGTCCTGGCCTTTACCTGCAAGCTTGCTGCTTCCAGGTGTGTTAGGACTGACTCTGAAAGGAAAGGTTGCAGTTAATTAACAGAACTGAATACAAAGCAAGCTGTGGTCCTCAGGGAGCTCTACGCTCTCATTTAAGGTCCAGGCATGAGAGGTCAGGAGGCCGAGCCTGTCAGTTCTGTAGTGACCCAGGTGCCTGACACCATCATGGCTCCCAGGACAGGTGCTGAAGCCCCTCTAGCATCTAGGCTATCTTTGGGGGTTGACTCTCGTGCTGCCCCCCCAACACTACTTCTGACCCTGTTTGTCTGTGTGCTGGTGACTTGGCTCGAGGCTGCTAAAATCACTGTGGGGCTGCACGCCCCTTGGAATATCTCGTATCCATTCAGTGTGCAGAGGCTGGGCGCAGGCCTCCAGATTGCCTTGGACAAGATCAATGTGGAACTGGCAGACCTGGGGAACTACAGCTGGGAGTTCACTTATACCAACTCAGCCTGCAGTGCCAAGGAATCTCTGGCTATTTTCACCTACCAGGTCCAGAGAGAACAGATTTCTGCCCTGTTTGGACCAGCTTGTCCAGAAGCAGCAGAGGTAGAGTGTAAAGTCTGCTATAAATTGTGGACTGAGTTCTCACTGTAAAGGGTGGTCTTCAAGATGATGGTGTGAATTTGAATAATCTCTTTTTTTCAAAGTCAGTGATGATTTTTTTTAAGATTAATTTATTTATGCATGGAAGAACCGGAGGGCAGGCCAAAGGTGTGGGGGGTGAGAGGATTCACCAGAGACAGAATGGGGAGCAGAACAGGCATCCCCACTAAAATACATTGCTGAGGGGAGCAGCGGGCAAAACAGGAGAGGTCTGCTGCACCATATGTGGGTCAGCAGCTCCCTGGCTGCATCAAACTCATGTTGCAGTGGCTGGCGATAGATGGATACTGCTGGGACCTTATCATTGTGCTACCAGGGAGGTCTCAGATTTGAATAATCCTTGACAAAGATGACATTAGTATAAGTAATGGTAATGTGGCTCTTGGGTAATATTTCTTTGAGATGTAATTAGACCATGTAACTAGAACAGTTAATAGCCTCTTTAAAGAAAGACTTTCAAATCACTTATTCTGATATACACTAGCAGACTTGTTGATTAGACAGTGCTGTTGGATATAGACTCTTACTGTTCACTCTCATATTGTCAGGTTCAGAAAAATTAAGAAGAAAATGAATGTTTGGTTTTAAATAGAAAAGTAAAACTTATTTGTATCCCCTTGGCGTTTACAATAAATTATTCAGGGATGGCAAAAGTAAGTGGGAGGAATGAACAGGACAGGTTAAAATAAACTGGGACAAGAAAATGAGAGAAGAGAATAATTTGTATTTTTGAGTTAAGGGAATTTCCTGTGCTAACCTCCTTGAGTATCTCATGATCTGGGGGGGGTTTGATGCAAAGATTGGATAGGAAATAACATCACATTTTTCCCTCTCAAAAATTCATGCAACTACCATTATTGGGTACTACACATTTGAATTTGAATCTTGGTGTCTTTGTGTCTCCTGAAATTCCCCATTTATATGCTGCTAGCAGTCTAAAACCTATCCATTCTTCGGAGTCAAGCACAAATGCCTTGTTGTGTTTCTACATCTCTTCACTCTACCCTCCATGTTCCTAATTCCCAAATAAAAAGTAATTTTGTACTTCTCTAAACTTTTATAAATCTGTTTTCTGTAAAGATTGCAGGACATATTTAGGTATATAAAGCTGTTTATACGTAGTAGCTCTTGCAATAGATGATAAGCTCTTTTAAGAGCAAGGTCTCCAAAGTTCTTGTAACTAGTAGACTTTGAAAGGAAAAAAAGGAGAAATGAATAAGGGAAAAAATAAAAAAAGTATAAAAGAGTGAGTAGCTATGGCATCATATTGCTTAAATTCTAACCCTGAGACACAATTTGTTAACCTTCTAACTTACATATCTGTGCTTCTGTGTTTTCATCTATGAAATGGGATAGTGATAATATCTTCAACACAGAAATGATGTAAGAATTGAAATGACATATATAAGCTTTTAGTAGAGTGCTTGACATACTGTAAGCACTCAATCAATACTTGCTGTTGTTATTCTTGTGCTCAGAGGGCTTGCATCCTCAAGTTGGATCCAAGACATTGTCAAAATCCCAGGAGTGCCCAGTTTTGTAAGAGACTATGATGTATGGATTCACTGAATCCAAAGATTATGTCAACACCTTATTAATGAAGTTTGAGATTAGCATAAACTACTTTATGGAAACACATTCTTTTGGTTACTTTCAAGGTTATTGGTTTGCTGGCCTCTGAGTGGAACATCCCTGTGTTTGACTTTGTTGGAAAAACAACAAAGCTGGAGAATGGCTTCCTGTATGACACCTATGTGACACTTGTGCCATGCATGCGGACAGTGGGTGAGGTGCTCCAGAAAAGTCTCCAGTACCTGGGCTGCAAACGCATTGGGGTGTTTGGTAGTCACCATCGGGCTTCTGCCCGGGATGGAGTGGATGGGTTGTGGAGGGTTGTCGAGAATGAACTCAAATCTCATTTCACCATCACTGCCAGTGTGAGGTGTACCAGCAACGAGCCAGCCCTCCTTCAGGAGAGTCTTAGGAGCATGTCATCCACAGCCAGGGGTAAGTAGGAAAGAGTCTCCTGTCATTTCTATTTGGAGAGACAAATAGGAAAAGCAGATTGTTTGCAAAAAACTAAGAACACTTCATTTGTCTCTGGATATAAGAATCAAAGGGAAATGATACAAAATTAATGATAGATAAAAACAATCTCCTTCTTTTTTCAACAAAACTAGATTTTTTTTTTGTCTAAAGTAAAATCCCAGATGCTATAATGTGATGATGAACAGAATAAATTCTGGATGCATCTTCCAGGAAGACTGGGTTGTAGACTTGTATTACTTAGAGCATCGGTTCTTGAGAAAGACCCAGGTTTGAAAATAGTCTCTGACACATTTAGCTGTGTGATCCTAGGCAAGTACCTTAACCTCTCTGTGCCTCAAAATCTGTAAAACCTGAAGACAATCATTCTACATACCTGAAGATTAAATTAAGTCATGTCTGTAAAGTACTTAACATTGTGCCTGGGCATAATAATTGATCAAGATCTGATTACACCAATTTTTGTTGTGGTGGGGGTTTATAAGCCTCCTTTTCTGCTCCCATCCCAACTTGGGAAGTCTGAGTGCTCCCAGTTCTAGATCCTCCATGACTCCGCCTAACTGATGAGTGGCTGATGAGTCACAAGCCAGATCTTTTGTTCTAAGTCAATTAAATGGAGAAACGAGAGCATGGAGGCTGTCTAAAATTTTTTATTTCCACTTGCACTTTGGGAGAGAGCTGCAGTGAAGATCTTGGATGCATGGAGCAAAAGCCACCAGTTTATAGTATGCTGCTCTGGCTCCAGAAGGATGATGCTGAAACTGGTTCAGGAGTTCCTATTCCTAAAGATTGCTCAAGGGAAGAAAACGTTTATGTCTTATTTGGAGTAGCATCAGGTTAGACTTTACAACATATGTGTGTGAGCGCGTTTGTACGTAAGAGTGCAATTGCCTGTCTCTATTTTCTCCTCTTACAGTTATCATCTTAATCTGCAGCTCAGAGGATGCAAATGTTGTTCTGCAGGCTGCCGAGGACCTGGGCTTCAACAATGGGGAATTTGTCTTCATCGTTTTGCAGCACTTGGAGGTGGGTCCATATGACCCCTCAGTGGCCTGGGTAGTTAGAGCTAACGAGTAGGGTCCTCTCTATGCCCAGGATGATATTAGCTCCCTGAATACTCTCTCTGCTCTCTGAGGTGGGCACTCTTGTGTGCTCATCTTAAGATCAGGACAGACTGAGCTGAAAGAACTTAATCCGAGTTCTTTTGCACACTCAGTGAGAGGCTGAGTCAGGCCTTGAACAAACCAGCCGGCCCTAGAGCCTGGTCCTCTGTGCCCCACGGAAGCAAGTACCGGCTGAGGAAGAACTGGCACTCCAACCAGGTAGCTGAGACCTACCCAAAGGACTCCGACACAGTGGACCTCTGTTTCTGGCCTTCTACCACCTCCCTGTGTCCTCTGGGGCCCTAACCAAGGCCAGGAGAGACCAATGCACTGGGCAGGGAGGTCATTCTTAGGTGGTTTGGTTCTTTCAGTAATGACACGAATGTTTAAAATGCCCCATGTATGGGCTACCAGCACAGATTACACGTGTCCCATGCGTCATTGCCCTGGCTAGGTCTCAGGGCGCCACAAGGCAGATATCACAGGCATTACTCATGGGCTTTGCTGCACTTGATCTTTCCAATGGCCTTATAAGCTGGATGTTATTAGCATTGCAACTGACAGATGGAAAAACTGGCACTTAGATCAGTAAGACAACTCACCAAGATGTTAGAGCTCCCTCATGCCATGGCTGGTCTTCCAAACAGGGTTTCTGGGGATTCTGGGCCAAAGAACTGGGACCCAACAGCTCCACCTCATGGTGGGCCCCTGGGTTCAGGCCCTGCTGGGACCACTTGATATATTAAAACTCATTTCAGCTCATGCTACCCCACAGATAGATACTTAAACATTCCTCATTTTACAGGTGAGGAAACTGAGGCCTTGAAAGGTGAAATAACTTGTCTAAGCCCACATGACCAGTGTGAGGGAGTGTTTGGAGAGTTAGTGTTTACCTGCTGCATGACACCGCAGGCTTCCAGACAAAGCCCCTGACATTCAGCTATGGATACACTGTGTAACTTGCCCATTGGTTTTATGTTTTTAAAATGAGTTTGTTTTATACGATTACAGGAAGCTGAAATGGGGCAAAGGGTGTAGAGGAAGATATGTAATGATGTTCCAGGTTTCTTCCAGATTTCTTTTATCTTTATTAGGAAGTGTTTCAGACCCCTCAAAGTGTCTCTGATTTCTATGGCTGTTCAGCTAAACTTCACAACATAGGCCAAAATTTCCAGAATTTTCTACCACCTTTCCTTTTCATTGCTGTCTACCCCTTTCTCTTCACCTGTCCTCTCACCACTGCCTTTAGACCACGAGAAGAGCAGAGCATGGCCTGGGTCTTGGTGTGGAAGCCTTGACAACCCCCTGCTTGCTTTCTCCCAAAACCTTGATGATCAGATTAAAATTGGTTTGTAGAGGCAGAAAGAATATAAAGCTAGACTCTGCCACACAATGTCCATGCAACTGAATTCATGTTGCTTTAAAGAGTAGCAGAAATCTGTCCTATAAAAGTGTTCCTGATACAGGAAAAACCAGGCTGCAGATGAGCAGTATCATGATACATGGAAGTTAAATGTGCATGTGTGTGTGCACAGCTCTCTGTGTGTCGAGAACATCTGTGCACCTCACAGAGTGAGTGGGAGGGAGAACAGAGAAATTGGGGAAGAAACTACTGTCCTTCCAGATCTACCTAGAGTGAGTTGGTATTGCTTTCACAATAGCGATAGTATAAATAATGCTGATAACAACAAGCCATGTAAGCCACGAGCAGAAATAAAGAAGCACAGTCCTAAGTTTCTCAAGTTTTCACCGCCAACTGTTCAAAGTGAGATTTCTGCCTCTGTGCCGTTTAACACCCCAGAGGGGTTTTTATTAACTTATTTTTGGGGGCTTCCTTCTCACTGCTTCAGTGCGGAGCTGGCAAGGTGGGCCTCCCAGGGTGATCATGTTTCTGAGGATCAGAATGTAGTGATTCAAATATGACATTGACTTTATGCAGCTGCATTGCGCAGGTCATTGCCTCCAGAATGGCCACGTTTGCTTCCTGCCTTTAGCACGGTTTTTTTTTTTTTAAACAGTATTATAGCAATTTTAATTGCTGTAGTAGTTTTTAAAAAATATTAATGTTCATTATATTTTTTATTTTATTTTTAAATTTATTTAAATCTTTTAAAATTATTTTATATATTTTTTTACGTCCTTCTTCATTTTCATACACTGTATGCTTAGGACAGTTTTTGGAAGGACGCATTGACAAGTCAGAGGGTGACACGCTTCCCCAAGGTCTATGAGTCGGTGCTGCTCATCGCCCTCAGCACCCATGGAGAAGGCCCCGGAGAAAAATTCAGGACAGAAGTCTACCGAAGACTGCGGCAGCCGCCCTTCCACAGCGCCATCTCCAACGAGCGGCAGGTGTGACGCCCCACATCTCTGAGGATCTTTGTGGTGGGCTTTTTATAGCTCGCCCTTTTATTTCCCCTCTTCCTTTTCCAGTCTCTCTCTCTCTCTCTCTCACTCTCTCTCTCTCACACACAGACACACATGCACACATACTCCTCCTCCTCATCCACAGCCCCAAATAAACAGCTGTCTTGTGAAATCGGCACCCCAGTACCACCGGCACTTCAGTACAAGCAGAGGTCACTAGAGGAGAGGCCACATGAACTTTGGAGCCAGACACCTGGGTGTCTACCCTAGTTCTGCTGTTTACTAACTCTAGGACTTGAGAACTGCTCGGTCCCCTGCCCCTCAGTGTCTTCACCTGTAAAATGGGGACTGATGTGACATCTGCCTCCCAGGCCGTGGCTTTGAATATCCAATGACTAGAACAAATATCGAATTTAGCAGGAATGTCTCATCATGGAAGTAGCAGAACAAACTCCAGCAGATACCCAGACCATGGTAATTTCCTCTTCCCTGAGGATGCCAAGGACAAGATTACAAATGCATGTCAGCGTGCAGCTCCAATAGCCCAGGGGCAGCAGGTGTCTGGCACAGGGGGAAGACAATGTGGAGGCAGACCCTGGGCGAGTGGTGACCCCAGTCTCTGTGGGCTGATGGGACAGGGCGTTGAGATGTTGGCACAGAGAAACCCTGGGCCCTGGGGCAGGGCTGGTGCTCTTCCCATGTGGGGGACCCCTGAGTCAAAGATAAACACAGGCCACTGGCCACAGGACTTTCCTTTGAAGGAGGGGCTGATTGTGAACCCCAACATCAAACAAAGATGATCAATCCCCAACCAATATTTGGGGAGTCGTCTACTGTGTGTCTGCTCTGTGCAAGGAGAACCGGGCTGATCAATCCCCAACCAATATTTGGGGAGTCGTCTACTGCGTGTCTGCCTTGTGCAAGGAGAACCGGGCTGAGCACGTGGCAGGCACCTGTGTTTTGTTGATTAAATGAATAGAAAAGAACAAGTGCCAAAGACCTGCTGTGTGCCAGGTAGAGTGCTGGGTAGCACACCTGTTCTGTCTCTTGTAACAATCCCTATCTCCACCATGACAGTGGCTTTAACTCCATTTTATAAACAAGCGAGCTGAGATTCAGGGGGGTCAAGGTGCTTTACCCCAACTGTGTAGCCGGGCCAACCTCTTTGAGTAAACCATGTTCCCTCCTGACTCCGGCCCAAGGGTGGTCCCTGACCTGAGGGATCATGTGGTCTCACTGGGAAAACATGGCCTCCAGAGGGAAAATGTAGACTGATATGTTTGTGCTCAGATCGGCACCTGGAGGGTCGGTGCACCTGCACTGTGGGCTCCATTAAGAGGAGGGGGTCGGCCCCTCCTCGCTCAGCCTCAGGAGGCTTTTCCAGCCCTTCACTTATCTCCCTCCCTGAAGGTGAGCCCCTACTCGGCCTACCTTCACGACGCGGCCCTCCTTTACGCTCAGATGGTGAAGGACATGCTTGGAGCCGGGAGAGATTTCCGGGATGGGCGGCAGCTGGTCAGCACCCTGAAAGCTTCCAATCGGACAGTATTGTGGGGTGAGTGGCTTGATGACTGCTGGGTGTTCTGATCTCAGGCCTGTGGCTCCTGCCCCTGGTGCTTTGTGATGTTGGGGTGCCATGAAAGGCCTCTTTGGAGACTCACAATGAGCAGCAAGTCCTCTTCTCCTAGATATCCATCTTCCCCTGGGGTGGTTGAGGTTAAACCTGCCCAGGAGCATGAAGGGTTGGGGTGAGGAGGGTGGTAGGAGCTGGAAGGAGGCACCTGTCTCCAGCCCCAGCCAATTGCTACCTTGTGGTCTTTGGGCCTTCATTTGTCACATCTAATTGATGTGACAAAATTAATTAGAAATTGCTCAGCCCTATTTTTCTTCCTAGTGCTAGGTGACCGTCCCCAGCATCAGCCTAACAGAACACAGTTGCCCACCCAAAGAAGCCCCTGGGCCTCAAAGCGGTGCCATCTCAGATTGATCTTCTTTTCACTATCTTCCTTACTCTCAGATTCCATGAAACCACAAAACCTCACAGCTGGTTTTGGGTAGTGGCCAGAGAGAGGTGCTGCTGAGGAAGGGGGTGCTGTCAGGGATGGGGGTGCTGCTGGGGAGGCACCTCCCTGGGAGGGGTTCTGTTGTCTGCAGTCTGGCATTTTCAGCCACATACATAGGCCCCCTTTGTCTCCTTGCCTGTGCAATCTCTTCTCTTTCCAGGAGTCACTGGCCCGGTGTTTGTGGACTACCAGGGAGAACGGTGCATGGATTACTTTGTCTATGCTCTACAGAAATCTGGAAACAGGTCCCTCTTTCTTCCTTTTCTTCAATATGACAGCTCTCAGAAAGCAATCAGGTACCAGTGGGACACTTCTTTGAGTTTAGATCATGTTCTAGGGAGAGGTCTGAGAGGAGAGGGATGGGTAGGGGTCCAGCTGCTAGAATCCACCACTTGTCTGGGGCTCCTTGAACTCAAAGGGATGGACTCTGGGCCTCTAAGTGATCTTACACTTGATTGTGGGTGTGACTGGGCCACTGCAGATTCCCCTGTAGAACATAGCACCCCCTGCCTGCACCCCTGAGGGACACTGGCCTCCTTTAATGTCCTAGGCAGGCAGGTCCCCCCGGCCCAAAGTCTTAGAGGAGGCTGCAGAGGGGGTGATAGAGACAGCATCCCCTTCAGGGTCAGGTCCGCACTCAGGGAAACCTGCTCACCCAGATGGCTCAATTCCAGCACAGAACAGAATGTGGGTGCTAGGTGTGGGCCTGGGCTCCAGTATCCAGGAGTCTCTGGAAAAACCTTTGTTTCTGTCCTCTCAGCTACAAATCAATGGGAAAATTAAAAAATAAAAAACAAAAACCTAAAACAATTCATTTTCTATTTACCCCCACAGCCATCCTTCCCAGTCCAGATTTGGTTTGATATTTTTTTCACCGCTATGCTTATGGAATTTTTAGTGTACGAAAGAGGTTGGCCAAGGAAATAAAACAACCGTGGCAGGCCAGGTTGTCAGCATTGTAGGGATAGGCAGAGGAGGGTGATGTTTCGGACTGTGAATTGTCAGGATGATCATAGCAACATCTGTCCGTATCGAACATGAGAGAAAATCCCAGTGACCCAGTTGGCAAATCAGCAACATGGTTTATATCAAAAGATGAGTCAATTGTTCTACCTGGCAAAAGATATACTGCTCTTCCGGCAATTAGACTCCTTCAAGGCTGGGTTTATTTTTTTTTTTTTTAAAGATTTATTTATTTATTTATTTACTTACTTACTTACTTATTTATTTATTTATTTATTTATTTATTTATTTATTTATTTATTTATTTATTTATTTATACAAGCACTGGGTACAGTCAGAAGCGCGGGAGGGTGAGAGAATTCACCAGAGCCAGAGCGGGGAGCAGAGCAGGCAGAAGGACCGAAGTACACTGCTGAGGGGAGCAGCGGGCGGCAGGAGAGGTCTGCACGCCATGTGGGACCCTCCTCCGGTGGCCGGGGAGCAGCCGGGGATCGAAACGGCGCTGCAGAGGCTGCGGGCAGCTTCGCAACCCAGCGCTCAACCGCTGCGCCACTGGGGAGGCCCCAAGGCTGGGGTTTAAAGAGTAGAAAAGAGCTGGGAAAATTGGCTGGGCCGGCACAAATTTGAACAAAGGAACTGAGAACTGTCTTTTTTTTTTTTTTTGCAAGTGACTGTTTCAGTTGTCTCTGCTATACCTGAAATAGAAACAAGTAAAATAAATCCAGAGGGCACTAACTTTTATTTATTTATTTATTTTTAAAGATTAATTAATTTATTAATGTATACAAGAACCCGGGTACAGGCCAGAGGTGCGGGAGGCTAAGAGGATTCACCAGAGACAGAGCGGGGAACAGAACAGTCAGACTGACTGAAAACACCGCTGAGGGGAGCAGCAGGCGGGACAGGAGAGGTCTACAGCACCAGCACTAACTTTTAATGGCCCTTTTATTCCAAAGGCCCATAAGGGATTTCTCCAATATTACCTGGCTCCATGGCTCCCTTCTTGAAGACAGACTTGGCTGTGGGTTTGACAGCGAGATCTGTGCATCTGTGCCTATGTTCACAGGTCAGTATGGCTACTTGGAGAAGGCAGTGGGAAAGAATTCTCCACAGCAACATTTTTCACCAGCGGCAGCAGCAGTGACATCTGGGGCTGGATCTTGTGTGTGTGTGTGTAGGGGGAGCAGGATGTCCTGTGCATTGTCCAGTAGCTTTAACAACCAAAAATGCATCCAGATAGTGCCAAATATCCCCCAGGGAGGCAACACCCCTGCCTCTCCTGTAGAGAGCCTCTGTTCTCCAGAAAACTGGCTTCTGAGATTTGTCTCCGGAAGTCATTTCTACAGAGGTAGAAAGAGTCTGGACAAGGAGTGCTGTCTGTGGTTAGGAGCCAAGGCTTAGAATTAGATGCCTGGACCTGAGAACAGCTCTGAGGACAGCACATAGTAGCTGTTTAATAAAAATTAGTTGTGTTTTAGAAATTATTAGGATGATTTCTCTACAACAGAAGTTTGTGTGTGAAGGGGAGGTAAGTGCAGTAGCTATAGGAAGCAGAACATTGATCAGGAAAGGATTCCTGGGAGAGAGAAGTCTGAGTAGACCAGTGGCCTCAAGCTGGACCCACATGCAGCAGTCTAAGGGCCCTGCTGGCCAGGGCAGGTGGGGGCCAGTGTGGGCTCTCTCTGTGCCTGGGCAGCCCGTATAATCCTGGTCTCTGCCCTCCAGATGTGGCTGCTGTGATGCTCGCCATAGCCCTCCTGGTTCCTGTGCTGGGAGCCGTCATCATAGGTGTGACTTTAAGGACGCAGAAGGGAAAACTACAGAGGCAAAATAAAGACATCTGGTGGCAAATCAATTACAGTGACATCACCTTTCTGCCCCAGGTGAGGTCTCAGGTGGCCTGCTCCTTGCTGGCCATCTGCAGAAGGGACCCTTATGCAGGTGCTCATCGGAGCAGGAGACTGGCTCATGGAAGTGAGAACTTTACAAGGAGTCTCAAGCCCTGAGTTCTGGTTTTGAACCTGTCCCTCCCTTGCTGATTGTCTCTGGGAATGTCATTTCTGGGTTTCATTAAAAGTGACCAGATGTTCTCTATGATGCCCGTCAGTCTTTTCCCATGTTGGTGCAGAATCCTTAGATGTTAAATGTTAACATTGCCTCCCAGGGAGCATTTGGTTATTTTCAAAGCCACACTAATACAACAGGGTTCATTTACCCAACACACGTCTTGCACATTTTCTGTAGGCTTAGCAAGCGTATAGGTGCCAGGCGTGGGGATACCTCACAAATGAGTTTCCTTGAGGGAGGCCAACCATTGAGGCAAAGTGAGGCAGAAGCTGTGCAGGAGAGACTGAATATCTGGGCAGGATGAAGTCTTCAGAGAGGAGGTGACATTTTCGAAATATGGGTTGATTGAGGGTAAGCAGGGCAGAAGTAATACAGGGATGTCAGCTTGTAGGCTGGGAGGCATGGTGACTCATATAAGCATGATATCTGATAAGCACATAATACACCATTTCAAACAATATGGTGTTGGCTGTCCTTTTGGCCTATTTTAACTTGGCATTTGAAGGTCCTTTCTTTCCTTTTTTATTTTTTATTTTTGTTATTAATATTAAGCAGTGTAATCTTTGCAAGCATATCAGAAGTGCTAGTAAGAAATGCTCTTTACAATAGAAAATAACCTTGGGTTTCTAGATTTCACTGAGGAAAGTGACTTAAGAGTGAATTTTACTTTCACGTCAATATATAAAAAGCACAACTGATATCAATTTTATTATTTTTTTAAAATTTTGTTTTAAAGATCAGTCATTCCAGAATTTCAGGTAATACGTGTGCGGGAGCACATGCTACTCAAGATATTAAGAGAAATACAAGGTATATGATCTCTTGTTGAGTCAGAATCTAAGGACATGAACAAAGGTATGGATCTGAAACATTTCAAAGCAAAAGAAAAGTATTTGAGGGTGTGTTGCTTTTTTTAGAAGCACTAAATTTAGACCAAAGGAAAGAGGTTTGTTCTAATGGACATTTTACTCCTTATAAAGATCAGGGATGCAATATGGGCCAGAAGCAACATTCTTCTCATGTTATGTGTATTCTATGCTGTTATATTAGCTTTGTTTTTAAAATTGTAGTTGTGGTATTAGTTTTTCTTTTAATGGCATCCTTGCATATAGCATTTGTTCAAAAAATGAGCTATCACTTAAAAAAGGAGACTTGAGGGCCTCCCCTGGGGGCGCAGCAGTTGAGCGCTGGGCTGCGAGGCTGCCCACAGCCTCTGCAGCGCCGGTTCGTTCCCCGGCTGCCGGCGAGGGTCCCACAAAAAAAAAAAAAAGACTTCACAGGTAGCAGGCTGGGGAGTTTGGGGGGCTTTAACTTGCTAGGACCAGGAGATTGGGGTTCATTAATGGCTCACTTTCAAATGTCCCTGTGGACTTGGGGGGCTCACTGGCCTGGTCACGGGGTGAGTTTGGTGGGAAAGACTCCTCAGTTCTCCTCCTCCCTTTTCAACGAAAGCATCTCTGCTTTGAAGGACTTGGTTTATGCATTCAGGTTCCAGGTAAGACTTTCCTTACCCAGGGTAAGGCAATATGGGGTCCCTCTGCTTTCACAGCATTCTCTAGGTGTTGGGGAGGTCCTGGGGGTATTTATTACACAAGGAGGTGACATGGTTACATGTCCATTTAGGAAAGCCATCTGACCTTCGGTCACATGTCCTAAAAACTTGAATTTAGGTGGTCTGACCCCAGAGCCTTCCCTCTTAGCCATTGCACTGTCTGTGGAACAGATGCAGGAGTGACCCCTGGAGAGTAGACACACGCTTTGGGCCATAGAGATCAGGGTCTCAGTCCTGACTGTCCCATTTATGACTGGGTGCTCTTGGCACTCTTTTACTTCACCTGTAAAATGCAGGTCTCTTCCGGTCTTGGCCCTGCCCCTGAGCACTACCAAATTGTGTCCCATTTTGCAGGCATCCCAAAGGAGCACCCCTGTGTCGAGAGGGAACAGTAGTAGCTCGTCGAGTGTAATGGTGTCCGGGGATATCAGCTCCTTCGTCAAGAGCCGACAAGAAGGAGAGCTCTTTTATGCCCCAGTAGGGCTTTACCAGGTATGTTGAGGGCAAGATGGCTTCTTGTAGGACTGTGGGTGTTTCTGTCCCACTCTCTGCATGACCTTTGTCTTAGACAGGGCATTCTGAATAGGGAGACATTCTCCAAGTGAGAGTCAAGGTAGTCCTGTGACACCAGGCTGGTGTTTCTCAAGTTTCAATGAACACATGAGTCACCCAGAGGTTGTATTAAAATGCAGGCTCTAGTTCAGTAGATCTGGGGTAGGGCCTGAGACTCTGCATTTCCCCTAAGAAACTCCCAGATGATTCCTAAACTGGCTTCCAGTTTAGACTCAGCTCTGTCCAATATGACTTTCTGGGGGTGGACATATTCTGTACCTCCAAAATAGTGGTCTCATGTGACCATTAAACATTAATGTGAATGAGAAACTGAATTTTTTTTTTTTAAAGATTTATTTTTTTGGGGGGTGAAAGGATTCACCAGAGACAGAATGGGGAACAGAATAGGCAGATTGACTGAAATACACTGCTGAGGGGAGCAGTGGGTGAGTCAGGAGAGGCCTACTGTGCCATGTGGGTCAGCTCCCTGGCGGGCTGGGGACAAAACACGTGCTGCAGTGGCTGTGGACAGCCCTGTAGGTTGTGTCTTAACCCCTTGCGCCACTAGGGAGGCCCCATGGGAAACTGAATTTTAAACTTGGTATAATTTCTCAGTAATTAAATTTATGTAGCCCCACAGAGCCAATGCCGACCTCATTGGATGGTCAACATGAGTGGGTTTTTGCATGATTGGCACTTTGGATCTGATGAATCAGTTGTGACTAGATGCTTTTACAGTGTAAACAGTGGAAGCTGTTGAATCCTACAGCACAATCCCTGCCTGCCCTTTCTCATACCATACCCTAGACCATTAGGGCTGCCTACACTTAGCAATGCTTCAGAAATTCAAGTCCCCTGGGGAAAATTATTATGTAAAGGAAAAAAATCATCTATCTTCATTCTGTAATATTCCAGAGAGTAGGGGCAGAAAGTTCCAAGTAAGACAAGAATTATTCCTCACTCTAAGTTGGGTTGGGCAAAGACTGGCACCAAGTCATTCCCTTTGCAACTGAAATTATTTTTCTTCTATTTACTTCAGTTTTGAAGCCACAAAAACCTCCTGGGATATTACCACTCATAAAATCCTAAGTCCACCTTTCTACAAAACCATACATTATGGTCAACTAGCTATTTGGAGACAGAAGCCAACAAGCCATAGTATATCATTGTTAGTTAATCTTCCTAAAATTGCTTCTGCTTCCCTCCTTCAGACACCTTTGCCAAGTTCCCCACATCTGTTGTCTGCATGGTAGTGTCCAAACTCTTTTTTTTTTTTAAGATTTATTTAAAATCTTAAATGCATACAAGAACTGGGGTATAGGCCAGGTGTGTGGGAGGGTGAGAGGATTCACCAGAGACAGAACAGGGAACAGAACAGGCAGACTGACTGAAACACACTGCTGAGGGGAGCAGCTGGCGAGACAGGAGATGTTTGTCCCACCATGTGGGTATCTCGCCGGCTAGCCAGGATTGAACCTGCGCTGCAGAGGCTGCAGACAGCTTCACAGTGCTGTGCTCAATTGCCTGCGCCAGCAGGGGAAGCCCTAGTGTCCAAACTCTTTAACAAGGGACTCAAAACTCTCTACTGCCTAGCTCCAACCTACTTTCAGAAACTTAATTTTTCCTGGCCTAAATCCTACATTCATCCACTCGGTCTTGCTGACGAGACCATGAATATTTCACTTGCATATGGTGCCATGCCTGTTGCCTCTTTCCACACCCCATCTGGAACCTTCTTATTCAAGGTTTAGCTAAAGGGTCACCTCCTCCAAGAAGCCTTTCCTTCATCCCATGGTCATCACTTCCTGCTTGGCACTCCCAACACAGCCTGTGTCCTCTGCAATTAAACCCCAAAAAAAGTGGCAGCTCACGGGTTGACATATAACTTGTGCTGATGTTCACCTTCTCTTTTGTTCATGGTCTAGCTCTACTTCTATTTTTTTTTTTTAAATTTTTAAGGTTTGTTCGTGCATACAAGAACTGGGATACAGGCCAGATGTGCGGGAGGGTGAAAGGAAAGGATTTACCAGAGACAGAGTGGGGAACAGAACAGGCAGACTGACTGGAATACACTGCTGAGGGGAGCAGCAGGCGAGACAGGAGAGGTCAGCCGTGCCATGTAGGTATCTCCACAGCAGGCCAGGATCAAACCTGTACTGCAGAGGCTGAGGACAGCTTCACAGCACTGTGCTCAACAGCCTGTGCCACCAGGGAGGCCCTTTTCTTCTATGTTTTTGTGCTTAGTGATTAAGTGACTCTCTAAAAGCAGGCTCAGTAAGTAACAACAAGTAGATAGGCCTCTCAGTGAAGACTCGTGCAGGGCAATGGGTTAACTATGTTACATATGTAATTCATTTATCCTTGCGATAACCCTAAGAGATAGGCATGATGTGTAATCTCCATTGTACAGATGAAGAAAAGGAGGCTTAGGGAAATGAAATCTCTTGCTTAAGATTATGTAGGTAGGAAGTGGTAAAAATGGACTTTGAGACATGTCTCTGACTCCAGATTTACCCTTATGACCTCAGCTCACTATTATCCTAAAGGATAATGGGACATTACTGTATAATTGAGACAGTGTAGACTTGGAATCAGGTGTTCAAATTCTGGCTATACTACCTACGAATATATGACGCTGGACACATTACCTAATCTCAGTAATTCCACCTGGAAATGTGCTAATCACACCTACGTAGCAGTCACGGTGCCTGCGAACTGAGAGCTGTCATGTTAAGCAGTAACTCAGTGCCTGGCTGGAGCACTGTGCTGCCCCAGGGCCGATGGGGGCAGTGAGGAGCCTGGTGATCCCTTTCAAAGGTGAATTTCTTGCCAGTCTTCCTGCTCCTCTTCCTGGCTCTTTCTGAGTAGGGCTTTTTCTGAATCATTCTGGGTTAAGAATATTCCACTTTGTCTCTGCTTCCAGGGAACCCTTGTGGCTATTCGCTATGTTGGTGACCAAGCAGAAGCCTGGGTTAGGAAGCCATCTGTGCTGCACGAAATCCGATTGGTGAGGTCCCCGCCCCTGGGAGGAGACAAAGTGGGGTTGCCCTCTGCCAACTCCCGGTCCCTACCTGCAAGGAGTGGCCCTCACCCACAAAGAACAGTTGGGAGGCTGCTGGCTTTACCTTGATCCTCCCTTTTCTTTCTCCACTCCCGTCACACCCCCTTCCTCGCCCCCCCCCCCCACACACACATACTGACAGCCCAGACTTTAAACCTGAGATTCTTTGGTTTGACTCAGGCACCTGAAGCCTGGCATTCCCCCAACTGTGCTTTTTTCTTTAAATTCTTCACGACCTTATTCTGGTTCCTCATCCTTTGTGCCTATGTTGGCTGTTCACCTGCCTTGAACCTGGCCCTGGGAGGGAGTCAGGTTCATCGTGTGTGACTTCTTGCTCCAGACCTACACACTGTCCTGGCCCCTACACTGGCACTGACACCAGGAAGCAGGGTGGGTATGTTTACTGTGACGTGGTTTTTAGTTAATCCCCATGGCGGAGAACTTTGGTCATCCCTTGGGTTTATTTGCTGAATGTACCGGTAAATACAATCTAGAGGTACCTGCCTCCCAGTCTTGCCGTTAATACGTTGTATGATCTTCAATGTGTTACAGTACCTCTTGGTCATCAGTTTATGCAGCTGTAAAATGGAATCAGTCACACATTTTCTTTTGCAGGGTCTCTGTGAGAATTGATTGAAAGTGTGTAAAGCTGCATGCTGGTACAGAAGACATAAAATAATGAGAGCTACTATTACCATTATCCTTTTCAGATGTATGAACTAAGGCATGAAAACATTGTTCCCTTCTTTGGTGTTTGCACAGAACCACCCAATATCTGCATTGTCAGCCAGTATTGCAAAAAAGGGAGTCTTAAGGTAAGTGAAATGCTGAAGCTCACCTCAGGTTTGATGAATGACAGGTAACAGAGACCCTTATTAGTGACTTTCCCTCGTAATCCGAAGAGAGTTCCTTTCTGGACTAATTGCAAGATCTGGATTATCTTGTTGGGCTGCCTGTTGGGGATCAAATTAACAGTGGGGTTGCCAAATGTCAGCTTTCCTTTGTTCTGAGTGCAAACAATCTGAGCTGGGCTTCATGTGCTAAGATGTCACAAGTACATTTGACCTACATTCCGAGGCCCACCCTCGACCCTGGTATGTAACCATGAGCTTTATGTCAGTAATAGTCTCAATATTGAGTCAGGTTATGTATCTTCTGGAAGACTTCCAGTTGCTAATCTAAGAGTTCGTTGTCTCAGGTTGTATTTGTTCTGGCTAAAATTCACCCAACGGATTAGAATCAAATCCATTTAACTCGTGAAGCTCACTCTTCTCAAGTTAATAACTGGTGATGTTTTGGATAACTGTTTTTCAGGATGTTTTGAGAAACTCAGATACTGAAATGGACTGGATATTCAAACTCTCATTTGCATATGATATAGTCAATGTGAGTATAACATAAGCTTATTCGAGGACAAATACCATGGTGTTTATGAGTTGTTCTGTATCTTGGATTAAAGTAAATGAAATCTTTCCTGAATATTTGGTTCCTTCTGAGATCTCCTCTTCAAACAAAAATGATTCCACTTCAATCAGATTTTCCATTTTTTTCTTCCCTCCCTGATCTTAAGTATTGATAAACACCAAAAGAGTAAAGTATTTTACACTGAAGTTGAAAGGGATGCTAGGTTTACCCAGCAGGAAAGAGCAGGGTGTTTACATTTCATGGTGGAAAATTTTAGCGCAAAGAAAGTCTAATTACTAGCCCATGAAGTGAACTGAGGCCTGGTGGGTGTGAGGGGTGGGGGGATCCCTAAGACTCCCTTCCTTTTCCTCAATCTCTGATTCCTGATCCCCCCAAAATGGGGATTAAAGACAATGACAAACTGTTGATCTAAAAGGTAGACTAAGGATGCAGATCTGAGAAGGGATATGTATATGTACACACACACACATACATACATACATACATACATACATACATACATACATACATACAGGTAGAATCTATTTTTGACAAAGAGGGATGTTGTGGCTGCAAAGAAGAGTAATAATAATAGCTGAAATTCTTTACTTTGGCTCAAATACTTTGTAGCACTTTGTATAATTTGATTTACTTAATTCTCATGACAAAATCTGAGGTAAGCCTCTTCTCATCCCTGCTTCTCTGAGGGGAGACAAGTCAGGTGGGGATGTCAGTGTGGTCCAGCATTTTTTAGGCTCTCCTGGCCCTGAGCTAAAACCCAGATGCTCCTTCTAAATCACTGCCTTTGCTTTTACCATCCAAGGGAGTCAAGTTCATGGGGCTGGGTCCAGGTGAAGAAGCCCCTCAGTCTGACACGTGGGCAGCAGGGCAAGTGCTGGTCACCCTCCGTCAGTCAACCACAACTCCTCTGGGCAAGACCTTGTCTTGGCTTTGTGAAGGACACAAGGGGAAGCTAAGCTCTGTCCCCTGGAGTTCAGGGCAGGTGCCTCAGTGAGTGACTGGGGCATTACCTCCTCTTTCTGCACCTCAGCCTCCATCTTGGTTTAATGAATGAGATTGGTCTGATTAACATCAAAGACCTTTCTCCCTCAAGGATTTGATTGCGTTTTGTTTCTAAGTTTGCTGAGTCTTTTTTTCCTTAAGATTTGTTTATTTATGCATAAAAGAGTTGGGGTGTAGGCCAGAGGTGTGGGGAGGTGATCAGAGGATTCACTAGAGACAGAGTGGGGAACAGAACAGGCAGATCAACTGAAATACACTGTTGAGGGGAGCAGCGGGCAAGACAAGAGAGGTCTCCTGTGCCATGTGGGTCAGCTCCCTGCCCGGGGATCAAATTTGAGGGGCAGTGACTGCCGATAACTTCATAGTGCTGAGACGTAACTCCTTGAAACACCAGGGAGGCCCACTTTATTGAGTCTTAATGGCTTTATGTGAATTATTTCCTAGTCTTAGTGGGAAGCAGTGGATAGTTACCAATTAAGGTTGACAAACAGAAACTCTGGTGCTTGGGTCTCCGTGGACAGCCCTGACCCCTTGCTATTATTATCTCATAAGTTGCCTTGAGGGTCTGAACCCTGGCCCTGCTGGGTACTGACCAGTGACCTCAACTACCCTGGGCCTCAGGTCCCTGTGTGAAAAATAAAAACAATAGTAGGACCCATCTCACAGGAGTGATATGAGGACTGACGCTTGTAAAATGCTTGGCTCCCAGCCTACTGCATAACATTTTCTTATTTAGTTCCCCCAACAATCCTTGCTATAAGTCTGCACTGACAAAAATGGCAGCCGCCACTTACATACAACTACCGAACACTGGCCATGAGACCCTTCCAGGCTGAGACAAGCTAGATGTGACACTGGATTTGAAAGGCTTAGTAAAAAAGAAATTAAAATATCTCATGAATATTTTTGTGATTACATTTTGGAATGCTAAGATCTTGAACACATTGGGTTAAATAAAATATATCATTAAAAATGAGTTTTACCTGTTTACAAAATTGAAAGGTATGTATGCATGTGGCCTGTATTATGTTTCCATTGGACAATGATCTTCTTCATTAGAAGTTAAGTCCGTTATTAATTTGTCTTGAGCTACAGTCTTTTTTTTTTTAAAGATCCATTTATTTAAACATACAAGAGCTGGGGTATAGGCCAGAGGTGTGGGGGGTGAGAGGATTCACCAGAGACAGAGTAGGGAGCAGAACAGGTAGACTGACTAAAACACACTGCTGAGGGAGCAGTGGGCGAGACAGGAGAGGTCTGCTGCGCCATGTGGGTTTCTCTCTGGCTGTCTGGGGATCGAACTCATGCTGCAGAGGCTGTGGATTATTTCATTGTGCGGTGCTTAACCCCTTGCTCCACCAGGGAGGCCCTTGAACGACAGTCTTCATATATTAATAGCTACTCAGTTTTTAGGAGGATAACGATGAGCTTTAGCAAAGTGAAGAAAGCTGCCCACTTGATCTGGGGCAGCCTGGGGTTTGGACTCCTTTGTTTCTATTGCCTGAGTTCTTGCCTCCCTGCCACATATCCTCCTGCCAATCACCATGGAGCACAGATGTGGGATCAGGAAAATCAATGTAACCAGCCAATTGGCAGTGATGAAATTGCTAAAAGCTCGTGTAATCTTGAGCTTACATCACAAAACTCTCAGAGTTCTGTTTGTGATAATGTTTTCTGTCATATATTTCTATCAGACAAAAAGACAAGAATAAAAAGAGGTGTGCCATCTCTTAGAAAGGGTTACATACCCACATTGGGGTCTTTGGCACCCTGGTAGAGTGAGTGCCCATAGTCCCCAGCTGTCAGGAATGAGCCGCAGCCACCAGAATCAAAAACGTCTCATGTTTGGGGCAGGCCTGGCATTAGCCATGGCAGGGACAGTCGTGCTGAACGGAGCAGTCTCCTTGAGGTTATAGAGGCCTCCAGCTTGGACACAGGTGTCCCCAAGATTTGAAGCCCAGACTTTGGCCTATTGGAGCCTTGCTGGAGAAATTTCAGAGGCAGCCCCAGGTGGGTGCCTCTAGTTCCGGTTGAGTAGGCTGTGTTTTGGAAATGTGATTCAATGCTCAATCATCTCAAAAACCAAACAAGTCTCATTGATAAAGGAACACTGCCTGCTGATATTGTGGGGGGTGGCAGTGGTGGGGCAGGGAGTGGATAATTCCCTGTTCCTTTCTGCATCAGCCTAATGCCACATGAGTCAGGCTCTTGCTAAAGGGACCCTGACTCAGCCTGTTATCACTGCTGGAGGAAGAGGTGAGTCCTGAGCTGGGGCTCCAGAGGCCCAAGGACCTCTGTCCTGAGGTGCAATAGTCTGTTCAAGAGCCCTCCTTGCCTTCCTCCTTGCTGAAACATTGAGGGCCGTTGCCTGCCCATAGTCCCACCCATGGGTGACTTCTCTCTCACCCACTTTCTCAGCCGGGTTCAAGAGTCGTTGGAACAAGGCTGTTTTTGTATAATTGTGTTAGGAGGAAAACTGTTCTTTGACCCTCTCTCCCCTGGCACCCTCCTGCCAGGGTGCTGGAAACAGAACAATCTAATGGTGTAGACGAAGCTGGGCTTCGAGGTACCCCAGCCTGGGTCCGTACCCCAGCTCTGTCCTCTCTCCTTGGGAGTGTTTTAAAGTCCTGAGTTTCTTCATCGTGAAACAGATGAAGTTCTCATTTTCCAAACTGGTCTCTTCTACCCATCCTCCCCAAATAAATGCTTCTCTCCTCAATCCCAAGACTTTCTTGCAGCAGCCCCTGGCTCAGGGAAAGACCCTCCCGCTCTGTCCTCACCTGGGCCAATGAGAATGACCACCTCACAGTCCCTCCTCACAGATGCTATAGCCCGTGTGAACCCCCTTCCTTAGCAAGCTTTTCAGATCAAGCAGCTCCTCCTATTCCCGTCATTTTCCACTTTTGTTTTCTTATCACTCATGCCAAGGCTCTTTTTATTTTATTTTATTTATTTATTTAAAGATTTATTTATTTATATAAGAGCTGGGGTACAGGGCAGTGGTGTGGGAGGGTGAGAGAATTCACCAGAGATAGAGTGGGGGACAGAACAGGCAGACGGACTGAGGACACTGGTGAGGGGAGCAGCGGGCGAGACAGGAGAGGTCTGCGGCGCCATGTGGGTTGTTCCCTGGCTGGCGGGGGATCAAATCCATGCTGCAGAGGCTGTGGACAGCTTCATAGCACAGCGCTCAACCTGTTGCGCCACTGGGGAGGCCCAAGGCTCTTTTTATTTCTAAACTTTGCTGGACCTTTTAATGTATGGTCAAGTTTGGGAATATTGAGGAGAGGTCATCTCAGACTGTCTGGGGTTGGGTTAAAAGGCACAGTTGAAGTCAGTGGGTCTGGGTAGGGCCTGGGATTCCCGGGGATGCTGCTGGTGCTGCTGGTCCCCCAACTGTCCTGGAGAGTCCCCCCTCACAGATGCTAAAGTTGAGGCCTAGGGAGTGATTTGCTCAGAGATACTGTGAGGGGTGAGTCTGGGCTGCAGCACAGGCCTTCAGTTCTAGCATTCTGCAGTTCAGGCCTTCAATTCTTTCTGCCCCTTCTTAATAGTGGGGTTGTATTGTCATGTAGTCATAGGTGATGTAACTCCTTACGAACACAGTGGGTGACAGAAGAATTTTTCAACTTTTCTCATTTTATTTCCTTTCTCTTTGAGATACACAAATAGAACCCCGAAGTGCGTAAAATAGAATACAATATTCTATTATTTTAGGGCCATTATATGTTGGTCAGACAAATAGAATGTAATTCATAGTATCTAGGTAATAAAATAAAATTCTTAATTACGTAGTGCTGCTTCTATATTGTTGATACTCATCATATTTATACACATTTTTCATCATAATTTAGAGTGGGGATTGCCTCTGGGTCATGCGCCCTGTCTGGTTATGACATTTAATCACCACAGCCATCCTATGAGGTGGGGATTATTTGCGTCTCCACTATGAGGCGAAGACCCAGGTTTATGAGGTAAAGTAACTTATCCTCTACTAAGTGGAGAGCTGGGATTTGAACTTAGGAGTCTGACCACTAGACTTTATTTATTTTAAGCAGGTCTTGACTCTATGTCAAGAGGCCAGAGATAATTTCCTCTTTGCGTGTCCCTGCCCAGGCTGAGTCCATGAACCTGGGACTGTGTTAGTGACTCTTGGGTAAGTGGTCCCGGGTCTTTTTGTCTGTCTGTCCCTTTATCTTTCTGTTTCCATGAAGCTTTCATTTGCTCATTTCCACTCTTCTAGGGCATGCTGTTCCTCCACAGGAGCTCGCTGGGTTCCCATGGTAACCTGAAGCCTTCCAACTGCCTGGTGGACGGTCGGATGCAGGTGAAGCTGTCAGGATTTGGGCTGTGGGAACTCAAGTACGGCCAGACATACAGAACATACCAGGAGAAATCCTTGGACCACACGGGTAACCACTGGCAGATCGTGCACCCCCTGTTGGCAGTGTGATAAGGGGGTTCCTTAATCCCAGTTCTCTTGTGCTTGCTTGCACAAGTATTTGCAGTCAGGCTTCCTCTGGAGCTGATGGTTTGTGGTGGTTCTGTTGCCCCAAGTAGTCAGGGAAAAACAGCCCTGTGGTGGCATGACTCCATGGTGTGAGTTAGAACGGGTTCTCCTGGCTCGGCTGGGCCCTTCTCTGTGGTCCTCTGGGTCCCTGGTGTCTTCATGCCCTGTTCTCAGTGCAGGATGTACCAATTTCCAGGGACTTTAAAGATGAAGAGTTCGATGGTTCTCCATCCTCTGTGTGATCCAGTGTCACTTGAGAAGCTTTTAAACTTACGTAGTGACTGGGCCCTCCCTTATGTCATCGGAATCAGAATATCTGAAATAGAGTCTGCGCATCTGTATTGCTTTTAAAAGGATTCTGATTCTGACACCATCCCCTGGCATCCAACCCTCCTTTCATAGGAGCCCATGGAGGCTTGGAGACTCGTCCAACTTGTCGAGTTAATGGGATGCTCTCAGCTCTCCCCTTGTGTATTCTGGCCCTCAGTACCCTCAGTCCTGAACTGTCTGTGGCCTGTTGCCAGCTGCTCTGCTTTGCATGTGGGGAAGTTTCCACGACCTGAGACAGGATAGTGTCTCATGGGAAAAGACATGGGGAAGTTCTGAAAACCTGCCTGTAGCCACTCCTACGACCCCATCTTCCAATATATTTTCCTTCAGTGATATAAACATATGAAACGCACTACAAAAGAAAAAGTAGGTGTGTGTAATATCCAGAATAGACAAATCTATAGAGACAGAAGGCAGATCGGTGATCGCCTGGGGTGGAAATGGTGGGGGGAATGGAGCAACTGCTTAATGGGTATGAGCTTTTACTTTGTGTGAAGGTTCTGGAACTAGAGAGGAGTGGTTCAACATTTTGAAGACCTACATGCCACCCAGTTTGACTGTAAAGTGGTTCATTTTGTATTCTATGAATTGTACGTCAAGAAACTATTTTTTAAAAAGAGGTCAATAAAGAAAGGGACAAGGAGATGAAAACTTGAATTGCACAGCCATACTTAACGCGGAAATGAGCCCTCGCACACCCTTCCTGGGTGTTCTCTCTGTGCTCACATGGGCAGGTTGCTCTGGAAGTCAGTTTCCGCCATGCTGACTTCTCAGAGGGCAGGCTCCCACTTTTCCTGTGCTCCCCTGGGAAAGAAGGGGTGCCACCCGCGGCTCTCACATCCATCATAACCACACCTGTTGCTTTGCAGAGCTCTACTGGACAGCCCCAGAGCTGCTGCGGCTCCCAGAGGCACCCTGGTCAGGCACCCCAAAGGGAGACGTTTACAGCTTCGCCATTCTGATGAGGGACCTCCTCCATCACCCCGGCCCAGGGCCTTTTGAGCATCTCAATGAGAGACCAGATGGTAAATAACGCATCTCCCTTGGCTGGCTCTGGTCAGCTGGGTTGGCTTTCAAATGTTTATTTTTATAAATTGCTGTGGGAAATGCTTAATAATGTACACTTCCTTCCATTCTTTTAAAAATTCATGTTCTTTTTCAAATTAGAAAATGAATTGAAGGAACTCAGAATTATATAATTTTTACTTTTTAATAGCAACCAGCACGATCATATTAGAAAATGAACCTGATCACGTCACTTCCTACATTCTCCCCTGGCTTCCGCTTTGGGAAGTATAAACGAAGTCCTTCTATGGCCTTCAAGACCCCACAGGCCTTTCATGGAGTCTCTGTGACTGCCTGTGTTCATGTCTTAGGGCTGCCTTCACAAATGACCACAAAATTTGATGGCTTGAACAATGAAATTTATTCTCTCACTGTTTTGGAGGCTAGAAGTCAATACTTTCCCCTCATTCACTTTAGTGAGATTATGTCACAGATCTGTAAAACAGATTCTTTCCTCACTGCCTGCATTCCATCTTTGAGTTGTCCAGTCTCCCAACTGATATCTTTTAACATTTGCATTCCTAAGTTTCTCTTTTCGTGCTGTACAGTTCTGGAGGTTTTGGCAATGTAGTGTCATGTATCCACTGTGATAGTATCATACAGAATAACTTCCTTACCTTAAAAAGCATGCTGATATTTTCACCTTTTGAACTCTAATTCCTGGTAGCCTTTGATCTGTTGGGGGGGCCTCCATAATTTTGCCTTTTCCAGAAAGTCAATATAAACATAATGATCCAATATATAGCCTTTTTATACTGGCTTCTTTTTTTTTTTTTAAGAGTTATTTATTTATTTATATAATCAATGGGTACAGTCAGAAGAGCAGGAGGGTGAGAGAATTCACCAGAGCCAGAGCGGGGAACAGAACAGGCAGACTGACGAAGAAATACAGTGCTGAGGGGAGCAGCGGGAGCGGCAGGAGAGGTCTGTCGCACCATGTGGGACCCTCGCCTGTGGCCATGGATCGAACCGGCACTAAAGAGGCTGCGGGCAGCTTTGCAAACCAGCGCTCAACCACTGTGTCACCAGGGGAGGCCCATATTGGCTTCTTATATTTAGTAATAAGCAGATAAGATTCATTTACATTTTTGCTCACCCATAATTTTTATATTAACACATGTATACCTTATTCTTAAAATGTCATTCCTTTTATAAAACCTGGTTAAGCAGAATATTTAATAAATATTGGTAGAAGCCAATGAGGAAGTGAAGGTAGGTTGATAAAGCTAGACAGAGAGGCAGGGCATGATGCTAACATTTATTATTTGTTAAAATAACTTTCATACAATACATTATAAGGAATGTAATTTGCATAAAGCGCATTTTGGGGATTTCTAACATCAGATGCTTATATACTCCTGAAATCATATAGTGATATATTTCAAGAAAAGTTCTTTTAGAAACAACTTACCTTACAGTCAGATTAATTGGCAGGTACTTAAATGTTTTGCATTAGTATTATCCATTTTCCAGAAGGGTTCAGAATATTTTCATTAAAATACTCAGATTTCTCTGAGATTTCAATGGGTTCAATTTACTTAAAAATTCAATTTACAAATTTAAGAGTACATTTGTTTAGTATGAATTATGATAAACAGCACAAAGTTCAGACATTTGGCCATCTGAACCCAAAATGAATTTCAGAAATCATCAGACAAATCAAAGACCCGGCAGCATCAGTTCCACTTCGACCTTCCCTGGCAGAGGAGAAGGGCAATGAAAAGTTCATGGTCATGGTAAGGGCATGTTGGGATGAGTCTCCGGAGAAAAGGCCTACTTTCCTTTCTATCAAGAAAATTTTACGAGATGTCAGTCCCAAAGGGTGAGTTAAATGTGCAACAGAAATTTCCTCTTAATCATTTAACTACTGACATTTAAAATCACATGGCTATGATTGGCCCTGTATGGCTCACTCCATCCATCCATCCATCCATCCATCCATCCATCCATCCATCCATCCACCAACCCACCTACCCCATCCATCCATCCATCCATCCATCCATCCATCCATCCATCCATCTATATATCCACCAACCCACCTACCCCATCCATCCATTCATCCATCCATCCATCCATCCATCCATCCATCCATCCATCCATTCATCCATCCATCCATCCATCATCATATTTTTTCTCCTTTAATGTCTACCACATGCAAAGTACTATGCTACATGAGTGTAAGTCCTCTACTTCATAAATGTTACAAAAATGAATCAGACATTAATACTTTCATTGTTTGCCTTTGTCTATTTCATCCAGAACTAATCAACCAAGGTCCTCTTTCCCAGGGAGTTTTGTCATGTCCTTAGAATATTTGTTAAACCAGCATTCCAAGGATCATAACTAATTAATTGGGGTATGACTGGGAAGAAATTAATTGGGAAATTATTCACCAACCTTAAAGTAAGTTATTAAATTATTCCTTTCCTGCCTCTCAAGCATTTTTTTCTTTTTTTTAAAGATTTATTTTATTTTTATGCATACAAGAGCTGGGGTACAAGCCAGAGGTGCAGGGGTGTGAGAAGATTCACCAGAGACAAAGTGGGGAACAGAATAGGCAGACTGACTGAAATACACTGCTGAGAGAGCAGCAGGCGAGTCAGGAGAGGTCTGCTGTGTCATATGGGTTGCTCCCTGGCCCGGGATCAAACTCGTGCTGCAATTAGCTTCATAGGTTGCGTCTAAACCCCTTGTGCCACCAGGGAGGCCCTCAAGCAATTTTTTCAATAGTAGCTTGCTTGACCTCAGAATCACTGTATCATTTTTAGGTGCTTTGAACATAAGAAGGCACAGCCATTGGGAAATAGCTTAAGTTAGTAGAAGTAGCACTATGGTGGGATTCAGGCATCTACTCCTCATTTGGCTGTTTGCTTATGCATTATTAGCCAACAGCCCTGTATTCTGCATTTTCCATCTATCCATGAAAATAGTCAAAATAGTTTTAAATGGTATGTTTCAGTTCAGTTGATATGTCATGACATTTTTACTCACAAAATGTGGTCCCCAAATATTAAGTCTATTTTCTAGATGAGCCTCAGAGAGAGGAGGAATTTCAATGGTTTCTCTGAAGACGCTTCTAAAACAAGATCCTATGGGATCTAGAAATGCCCCTTAAATCTGTCACCTGAAAAGAAAACACCAGTATTGTCATTGAAAAGATGACATTGACCCATCCTGAAATGTAAATTTTTGATTGGCCATTACAATGGCATGGAGCACTGTTGGGAAGTGGGGAAGTGCCAGTGAAAACCACCATTTGTTGGGCATGTAGGGGGTGCCAGTCTTAGCCCTAGCTTCTTTGTGGCTGTCACCTCCCTGAATCCTCAGAACAAACTGGTAAGATATATGTTATTGATATTATCCTTTTCCATTTGAAATAAACCGAGGCTCTGAGAAATGAAGGGAGTGCTTAAGAGCACAGAATTGGTAAACAGCAGGCTCTGCCCTGCTACATGGCCTCATAGCCATTGTCCTTTCACTGCTGTCCACTGGCAACCCTTAGGTAGGAAACCTTAGGGGCAAGCCATGTTTTCTTGGAACGTGTCGTTGGAAGTTGTGTCCTAAATTTCTGGGAAAAAGACTAAGTTAATGCCTGGGTTCTTTTAAAGCCATGTGAATATACTAGACAGCATGGTGAGCAAGCTGGAAGTATATGCCAATCACCTGGAGGAGGTGGTGGAGGACAGGACCAGACAGCTGATGGCAGAGAAGAGGAAGGTGGATAAGCTTCTGTCCACAATGCTGCCCAGGTATTCCAAAGCACTGGGGACCTTGACGAAGGAAGCTGGACAAACATCATCACTATCGAAGAGGCCTTCCGTGGAGAATGTATTTCCTTTGTTCTTTTTCTGAGGGAATATCAGCTTCATTTCAAACGGATTTGGTGTGGAATTTGGCACACTGGTAGCAGGAGATAAAGGCAATAGTCCCCATCTGAGCAGAGGATGCATGCATGGAATGCTGTGGATGCACCTACAGGAGAGCAGCCACTAGATAGCGCTCTAGCTTCATGAGCCCAACTCTGGCCCAATTACCTTCCCAGTATTTCTAATTGTATGCAAAAAACTCTTGCACAATGCACTATTTACCTTTGTCTCCAGATTCAAAACAACTTCATTTTGTTTCTGTTTTCGCCTGTGCACTCCTTAAACAAAAGGCGGTCACTTAATTTGCTGTTGAAATCCCTTTTAATAAAAGAAGCAGAGTTGGGTAGATTGAAGCAAAAATATTGATTTGTGGGTTGGTGAATACCCACATTTACTTCCACATCTGACAACAGAATCTTTACAATCAAACTCTGTAACTAACAGGAGGACATGAGATGGCCTAGAAAGGAAATCCTTGGAAAGCCATTTATTTGAATTGTTCCTCCCTATTCTCCCAATGTATACCCACCAATTTAAATAGCTCCTTAAGCAGACTAGGAAAATGTGGCATATATACATAATGAATAATACTACTCATCTGTAAAGAAGAAAAAATGGTGAACTCTTGACCCTCATGATAACACGGATGGAAACAGAGGGGAGAATGCTAAGTGAAATAATTCAGAAGGAGAAAGACAAATACAGATGGTGTCACTTATATGTGGAATAGAGAGAAGCAAAAGAAAGGATCAGACAAAATCAAACCAATAAGAAACCCTAGAAATCTCACTGTAGAGTTGAGGCTACAAGGGGGGGGGATGGAGGGGGTTAAGAGGGAAGGGGGTACAAAGGATCATGGTGGAGGTGAATCACACATAGTGGCATAAACCAGTTACTCCAATAAAAAAATACAAAAGAAAATATCTCCTTAGAGAACATGCAAGCGGAAAAGTGGGCCACCAAAGAATCCCCCTAGATGATGGATTTTGTTAAGCAAAAACCTATCCTGTTGGAACATCAGGGTCTCCCAGGATGACTTTGCAGGAGAGCATGTGAACAAGACGCTGTTTAAAAACTGCTGTCTTCTCCAATTGCAGCTTCATCGGAGAACAACTCATAGCGGGAAGGTCTGTGGAGCCGGAGCATTTTGAGTCTGTGACCATCTTTTTCTCTGACATTGTTGGATTCACAAAACTGTGTTCTCTCAGTTCCCCTTTGCAAGTTGTGAAGCTCCTGAATGATCTGTACAGCTTATTTGATCACATCATTGAGCCCTATGATGTATATAAGGTGAGGCCCCTGGCCCCTGGGTGGTGAGAGCCCACGTTTCCCTGCTGGCTGTCCCCTGGCATGATCGAGGATGAACCTGGCCCAGATGTCAGCCAGGAGGAAGGCTCTCTTTCGGGCTGGCAGCTATCCCAATTCATGGCAGAAACTCAATATTTTATCCCTGTTTATTTTCTTGGAAAAGAGCTTGATTAATCACAGGTGTTTGTGCTTGTCAAGACTCATCCCGTTGCCTTCCATTATTTGTATCTCACAGTAAATATATTTCTAAGAGGCACTGGCCTTCTGCTGGCAGATTCCTCCAGTTCCCTCCTGAATATATTTATTTCTAATTCAAAGAGGCTCCTATACAGTCTCCGTTAAGGTCATCTTTGGATCATGTGTGAGTGTCACTCCTGTGACAAGTCAGGTGAACACAGACCTAGTTTAGACTATCAGGTAAAGGTGAGATAACCCCTGTCTGCCTGGTGCTGCTCTGGGGACAGATGAATGTGGTCGACAAGAGTGAAAAACAATTTTGAGGGAGGATAGGAAAAGTTAATACTTCGACTTCATTCATGTGGGGATGATGATGGCTGTTTTATCTGCTTTCTGGTTTTCTAATGAGTACATGTGCCCATGTCCACACACACCCAGCGGCCAGCTGCAGGTGCACCATTGCTGACCATGATTGTAGGGTTGGGGTAGGGAGAATTGGGGGACAGTATTGTCCCCAATGGTTATCCTCCAGCCTTCCCCACAGATGTCATCTCTGTTCAGGGTGAAAGAAAGAATGGTACAGATAATCTTAAGAGCAGATCACACACACCCAACAAAAGTGGACTCTCCTCTGCTTAGGAGGGCAGCCTCTAGGAAATCCTCTGAGTATTGTCTTTTCAGTTATGTTTTGCATGAGCAACTGCTAAAATTAGTTTTATTCCTAAAGGATGTGTTCATGTGTGGGGAGAGGTAGGTTAGGAGAAGTTAGACTTGGGTGCCAGTTGACTTGGGGGTCACCAGGAGACAGAAGTGTTCTCACTGCCTGGCTAGTGCCTGAAATCCCACTTGGACCACATCACCTTTGGATTCTGCTAAAATGCAATGTATCTGGAAAGGGTTGTAACTTTGAACTTACACTTATTGTGTATCCTCTATTGTAAATGAAGGGTCTAAGAGATGATTTTATTAAGAGGGTGAGAGAGAAGGTGACAGATTGGCGGGTCCATTCATGCATCCATTGGTATAAACATACTTATTTTCTAAAACGCATACATCTTTGTAAATGGATATAAGAGCCTTTGTGGGCGTGAGGACATCAGGTTGACTAAAATGGATTTCACTTGATGGGTCCATGGGGCCCATCAGGATTTACCCATTAGGACACCCCAACAAGATGCCTAACTGGTTTGAGCAGGAAGCAAGACTCTGCTACTATGAAATTTCAGGGAGGAAGCAGTGTGTTTGAGGAGCAGGACTGAGGGAAGCAATTTTTGTGGAAGAACCAGGACAGGAAATGCTGGTTCTTGGATAAAGTGGAGGTCAGGGAGTTGACCCTTCAAAAGTGTGGGGCTCAAAGTTGGAGTCAGTCATGAGGGGCCTTGGTGCCTGACCCAACTCCCACCTGGGCCTCCCTCATGGAGAACACAGGCCCCTTTGTTGCTTTATCTTCAGGTTGAAACCATTGGGGATGCATACATGGTGGCCAGTGGGCTTCCCATCCGCAACGGCATGCGGCACGTGGACGAGATCGCCACCATGTCCCTGCACATCCTCAGTGCAGTTGTCCACTTCCAGATCGGGCACATGCCTGAGGAGAAACTCAAGCTCAGGATTGGCCTCCACACAGGTACACAGCACCGTGCATGTGGCCTTCTTGTCCAGGTGTGGAGGCAGGATTTCTGGATTCAAGCCCTAGATATGAGCCTTTGAGGTGCCTGAAGTGAAATAGTAACATGTCCAGGGGAATAAAAGGTTGAATTGACTTTGCAGGTATTTTCCAGTTAAGCAGATTGTTAGCAACAAGGATACCCCAAGACTCCAAGGCGTGGACCCAAAAATATGGAGAAGACCAAAGATTGGACATTAATATTGGGCTGCCTTTCCCCATACGTCGGTGTCAGTGCACTTTGCTCTGTTCTGGTTTGGTCAAGTCCATGGTTGTAAGCCTGTGCAGATGCGACCTGCAGTTGGTTTAATATTATGCTGTCACTGTCTTGAAACTCTTAGTATGTTTTGATGAGGGGACCCCTCATTTTCATTTTGCACGGCGCCCTGCAAATGAAGTACTAGCTGGTTCTGTTCCCACTTATTCTCCAAAGCTCACCCAAACTAAAACCTGAACCTGCATCAGAATGAATGGCTCCCAGGTCGGTGGCTTGTTTACGTCTCTAGTGCATGAATAGCACTGTCCTTAGTTTCTGTCTCACTTCAGATTGTTGTAACAGGATACCATGGACTGGGAGGCTTAAGGAGTACACATGTATTTTCCCACAGTTCTGGAGGCTGGAAGTCCCAGGTCAGCGTTCCAGCATGATGGGGTTCTGGCAAGAGCCCTCTTGCTGGCTTACAGACATCTACCTTCCAGCTGTGTCCTGATTATAAGAGGTGCAGGGAGGAGAGAGAGAGAGTTGGTGTCTTTCTTATTTGAAGGGCACTCATCCCATCCGGAGATCCCTACCAACACGGCCTCATCTGAACCTAATCATCTCTCCACGGCCCCATGTCTTACCACCATCCTTTGAGGGTTGGGGCTTCAGCACATGAGTGTGCAGGGAGGATGAAACAGGCATTCAGCCCATAAGGTAGTTATGTTTATGAGTTCTAGAGGGCAGCTCTTTGTAAACCCTAAGATCTATTGCCAAGCTTTGCCCCAAGAGGGCACTTAACAAATATTTGTTGAATTGCATTTGTTGATTTAATTTGCATCATGCAGTTGGGCCCTTGGGTGATGCAGACTGCCTGTGCCCTTCTGTTTTTCCCCTGGCAGGCCCAGTGGTGGCTGGTGTGGTGGGCACCACCATGCCCAGATACTGTCTGTTTGGAGACACTGTGAACATGGCATCCCGAATGGAAAGCAGCAGTTTGCGTGGGTATCATTTCCGGCACTTTGCAAACACCTCTCTGCTGTGTCTCCCTTGTCCCCTGTCATTAACCAGAGGGTATTTTTAGAGGACCCATTTGCATTTGTCAGCTGTTTTCCATTTAGAGGATAAGATCATTATCCACTTCAGATGACACTGGTCATAAAATCTACAGACAGGTGTTCACTGTGCTCTCCATGGAGTTGTGTAAACACATACAACTTTCTCCTTCAGACATTCCATTCTGGACAGGCACACACATATATGACCATTTAAATGAAGAGAAGTTGACAGACTTCTATGGTCTGTTGCAACTACTTAATGTTGTCATTGTAGTTTGGAAGCAGCCACAGACAATGTGTCATTGAATGGGCATGGCCATGTACCAATAAAACTTTATTCATAAACACAGGTTGTGGGCTGCATTTGCCCTATGGGTAGTACTTTGCCCATTCCTGATGTATAATGCAGTTTGGGTGCTGTAGAAGAAATCTATGACCAGGAACTCACAGAACACCGTATTCTTTTGTTTTATAGTAACCTGATTGTATTGACTATTGCTAGATGCATAAATGTCATTTAACTAGCTGGGAAAAAGAATTAGTGATTCAAATTTTGAAGAGTTTAGGCTGGCATTCTTTTGCCTTTGTAAATTTCCTACAATATATGAAAACATGAAAGTAACATTCCCTCTCTCAAACACAGATTTAACCTCTTTAGCTTCTAAGTAAAGATGCTAAGGATATATTTTAGAGGTTGAACTGCTTAGTTTGGCTCCAGAGCTGACTCTCTTTGCAGCTCTGGTTACAAACAACATTTTCCCTGACATGTACCAGCTCTAGTACCGCCCCAGGAAGCCCACAGAGCCCAGCGGACCTCCACACCTGGAGATGCCAACTTTTGTCTGGGGTCCGTTCTATCTTCTGCTTCTGAGCTGAACATGACAGAGCTTGGCCCACACAGCAGTGTCTGAGCAACACTGGGTGGTTGGGGGTCACTGCCCAAGCTCGGAGTGAGATGTCCTTGCATGCTGAGAATTTGAGCAGTGTAGATACCCCTCTCCAGCAGCCCCTGCCCTACTGAGGCCTATGGCAAGTGAGCCCAAGCATTCACTAGGCACTAACTGGTTTATGGCAGCTCTCCGGATTCACGTTTCTCAGAGCACTGCAGGAGACCTGCTGGCCTCTGGAAGGTATGATTTGCAAAAGAGAGGCACCATTCTAGTCAAGGTAAGACTGGGTCAACTGTACCCCCTCTCCCGCCCCATTTGGGTCTCTGATGGAGATTCTGAGAACTGACAGGATGAGTGAATTTCCAGGCTGTGGTGCATGGAGACCATCCAGGCCCAGGCAGAGGCTTTGTGAATGCTTTGTCTTCTTTTTGCCACAAAGGGCCTCCTGGCTTCCATGTGAACACCCTGTCTGGTCTCCCGCACAAAGCAACCACAGAGATGGCCCAGGAATCGCAGTGCCTTCCTCTCCCCCATGTCCCTTCTCTCGAGTCTGAGGGCTTGGGTGGGGAGTAAGAAGCCCACTTGTTTGAAAGTACTGGGATCTCATCTCTGTCCATTTAAGTATCCCTTTGCTTGCCCTCTGCCTTGTCCCTTTGCTCAGCCTGTCAGCCTGCCACTGAAATGTACATTCTCATCTTTCTGTTAAGCACTGGCCTTTTTGGGTGTGGGGGTTGGGAGCTCCTCTTGAGAGGTCATGATGGGAATGGTGGGCGGTCACCAGGACAAAGCTGATCTCTGTGAACTGGCTCTCGCCTCTTAGCCCGCAGCTCACAGTCCATCATGACTTCACCGACTATCAGCAAAGTCAGGGAAATGGGCCTTTTCCACCCCGAGGCAGCCCCTATCTGGCTGCAAATACTTCTTAATTAGCAAGCAAGGGAGTCGGAGCTGTCTTCTCAGAGGCCACTTCAGCCTCTTCCCGGGATTGAATCTCCTTAGTCTCCCACAGGGCAAAGGCAAACAAACAACTTTCTGGTTGAGAGGCAAGGAAGGCTTCACTATTCCACTCCCTGCATTTGCTGAGGAGGAAGATAAAGTCCCAGAAATCTTCTGAGGTGAGTATTTTCTTTAAAGATGTTCATGGAGTCCCATGCATTCAATCACCCTTAGGTGTCAAACCACACCTAAGGGTGTCGTTCATGCGCACTTAATAAGCCTCCAGTAGGGGGAGCCGTGTAGCTGGGAGCCATGTAGCTGGTCTCTTCCTGCAGGGGAGTTTGCGCCCAGAGGCTGGTCCAGCACAAAAGTGGGATTGGATCAGGTGGATCTGGTGAATTCATTTTCTGGGACACTGACCCTGGGCTGTTTCTCCCAGCCCTGCCAGGAAACCTCCTCTAGTTATCAGATGTTTCCGGCCCATTAGCTTGCAAATTTGCAAAGAACCCCACATCAATCTGAGAGCAGAGAAAGCTGGAGGAGGAAGGTGGGAGGCCAGGGACTCTGGCCCAATGATTACACCCCACCTTCCTTTGCAAGGTGGCTGCTGCTAACCTGGGGTGCTTGTTTTTCTTATCAGCTAATCAGCCTGGAAGGAGCTGGGAGCCCTTATCAGGAGGTATCTCAGGAACCTGTGGAGAGGATCAGCTCTAAGTGAAACCAAAAGGACAGGTTATTCCAAGCAGGCAGGACCTTTGCTATCAGTCACTGAAAGGCCCGGCCCTGAGCTCCACTTCCTCTGGAACGCACCTTCCAAATGGATGGCATCTTGTTCTCAATTTACTGCTTGATTTCTCTCCTATTCACCGAACAAAGGATGCAATCAGGGCTCAGATTTTAGGTGGAATTTTCATTCATTATGAAGTGCTGATTTTGTTTTTAATCTCCAGCAGACAAACATGATCCCATACATTCTGCCATGAATATATTCCCCTTTATGTGAAGAATAGGATTCCTGTAGGCTCATGCTATGGATCTTGGAATAGAACTGCTAGTGCATCCCAGTGCTTCTTCATCCCTTGCAGCTCCTCACATCCACACAACTTTGGTGGTTGTCCCAGAATACGGCAGAGCCACTTGAATGCTGCATCGAATTTGAGACCTTTTCCTGTTGATTTTCCAAGACTGAAGAATGAAAATCATTGAGACCCAGAAATGGCTCCTTTTTACTAGACCCCTGAGTGTCTTTGTGGGGACAATTTTAGAGCTCTATAGAGAGAAATAAACAGTGTTTTGATTAGTTGAGAACCTCACACAGCTTTTGGTGCAACTCTTGCTTTTCTCCAGGGAAAAAGATGATGCAATCAGGGCAAGAGAAGTGCTTTCTCCAATAGTCCCAACTCCACTGAGCTCCTAAGTGTGCCCGTCTGTGGGACTTTTCCTCTGCCCCGAGGTGGGCAACTGGACTCCATGACCTTTGCAGACTCTGTTTTCTAGAACATGGTTCCATTTTCATTGTGGTAGGCTCTGCTCCTCCCCACAGGCCTTCAGTGTAAGGCCTGAGAACTTTCCACCGATGCTTAGGAGGAGGGAAGGCAGAGGCATTAATATGAAGGGGACAAGAAGACTCCCCCTCCACCTCAGTGTGGAAACAGTGGGTCAGAATCTTTCTTCTCATGCCTCACAATTTCTCCCCTTGTTTGGGATCAGAACTTCCAGGGTTCCCAATACTTGCTCACCATGAACAGGAACAAAGCTCCCATCCATATATCCATCCATCCACCCACCCACCTATCCATCCATTTCATTAATTCAAGGAACATTTATTGACCATTCACTCTGTGCCAAGTACCACACTGGGGAACATAAGAGAACATTCAACTCTCTTTGATCTTTGGCTCTCAGACTAGTTGGAGAGGAGGCATAAAGGGTAATGATGCAATATATTAAGGACAATAGAGATATGTACAGAAATGTAGAGTGTAAATGACCAAACCTGGTCTTTTGCTCAAGCCCTGAAAGCCAAATTCTGAATTATGAGGATTGTCTTCACTTGAAGGAGTTTTATTTGAGATGGCCATGAAGGAAATTGGCAGGATAGGCACCCCAAAGCAACCAGCACCCTAAATGGTGGGAATGCTGGGTGTTTAGAAGGGGCAAAAATTGTGAGGGGCCCAGGGATTCACATCTGAGGAGGTGTCCGGCAGTCGGGGTGACAGGAGTCAAGGTGTGTGAGTTTCCCAACAGAATGTTTTCTCAGCAATCAAAAGATGTTTGTTTCTGATCCACTGTCAACTCAGACAGACACAGGGCATTTTATAGGGGTGTAACACCATCAGTTTGCCAAGTTTCCAGGAGCGCAGGTAGAGTCAGTTAGCAGTTAACAGTTAACAGTTAATCCTGGAGAGGGAATGTGATTTGGTGCATGAACAGCCCCCAAGAGGGAATGCAAAAGCATGGTCTGGGGTTAATTCTACTTATTCCTAATTTTTAATCTACAAGTGGTTACTGTTGTAAAATGGAGGAGATCTGGCTACAGAAGTAACTCAGCCATCCAATATAGCTACCTTAAAAGAACATTAGAAAGTGGGCCTCCCCGGTGGCGCAGCGGTTGAGCGCTGGGTTGCGAAGCTGCCCACAGCCTCTGCGGTGCCGGTTCGATCCCCGGCTGCTCCCCGGCCACCAGAGGAGGGTCCCACATGGCGCGCAGACCTCTCCTGCCGCTCGCTGCTCCCCTCAGCAGTGTACTTCGGTCCTTCTGCCTGCTCTGCTCCCTGCTCTGGCTCTGGTGAATTCTCTCACCCTCCCGTGCTTCTGACTGTACCCAGTGCATGCATAAACAAAACAAACAAACAAATAAATAAATAAATAAAACATGCCTCTATAAAAAAAAAAAAAACATTAGAAAGTGATACACAGAGGTGGGGTGGGAATTAGTCATTATCTATTATTATCCCATCTTTGTGTTTGTATGGTGTGTGTCTTCTCCCTTCCAGCCCTAGCCTACATGTTTATACAAATTATATTCGTGTAATACTTAATAACATCTGTCTTTATCATTGAATATTGTAACATAAACATTCGGCATCCATATATACACTAACACCACACATATGTGCACATAACACACATTCACACATATGCATATATATATACACACATGTACATACATATATACTGAGTACACATACTTCTATACATGTATATCTATTGATCCATTGATAAAGATAAATATATGTGAGAGCTACATCCATAGAGCTATAGATCTATATCTTGCTATCTAACTATGTGTCTGTCTATGATCTATCATCATTCATCTAACTATAGAGAGAGACAGTGTCTTCAGGGCTCATAACCAGAAATTTTAATAAGAACAATTTCCTAAAATCTATATCCAGTAATTTTTCTATGTGAACCAAGTATACCTAAGGGAGAATACACTCTTTCCTCCTCTAGATGTCTGTGTTACGTTTTAGCACTAACAGGAATTTACAAGAGCAATTGTTTTGAGTGTGCTTTTCCTTAATTACCTAAGAGAGAGGGTTACTTTAGGTCAAAACACCTCCAGTCTCTGGTGATAGACATCAGAGCTTTAGCAACAGGAGTGATTAAAAAGATTTGCCCCCAAATGTTTAGCGTATGTATTGGCTTTACACCTTCGCATCTGAAATCCAATACTGGAATTTTGGAAATACAAATGTGGGCTAGAATGATCAAAAGGCTGTGGTACATGTGAGTCTAAGAACCCTCAGTTGTAGAAACCCCAGAGAGGGTCAAGGAATTGGCTGTCAACACGAGAAATCAACACGGCATGCTATTGTCATTGGTTATTTATTTTAAGGCATTTTATTTCATCGCGTCAGGTAGAGATACAAGATCATTAAACAGGAAAAAAAAAAAAAGCAAAGCTAATACAATGTTTTACTCTGAGAGCCAAGGATTTGACTAGGACTATGCATATGCTATATTTAGGAGTTTTTTTTATTAGAACCAATAAAATAAATCTTTTGTTCTTCCTGGCTACAAGAATTCTGAATTCACAGGAAGAAGAAATCCCAAACTGGCTGGAGCAGCAGTCTCAAGACAGTCAAGCCTACCATGAGTCATTTTAATCTAGCCTAATACTAAACAAACTTGCACTTCATTTCTCCAGAGATTTGAGAACTAGTTTCATTTCTGAGCTCATTAACAAAGTTGTATTAGAGTAGCCAAACTACAGATCTCAACACTTTTCAAACACGTGGAACATAGATACAAACAGACATGTTTCACAGCGAGAGGCCACTGATGAGGTCTGCATGACACTAAAAACACAGAAAATTGGCTTTTCTTATCACACTCCAGCTTCTCACCTCCATCTGGGATCCATGGTGTATTCTCAAGATCTGTCAATTTTCCTCCAGGATTGGTTTGTTCAACTGTTGTTTTATTGACAGTGTAAAACATCACTATCACCTTACTCTGGACCAGTGGTGTTGGCCATATTTGCAACTGTGTTTTTGATTTGTTTGTTTCTAATGATCCTAAGTTAATAAAACAAAATCAGATATGGGCTTGAATGTTTCAGTAAGGGCTAAGTGAGGTCTGCTCATTCTGCACAAATGAAGGTGTCTTAGCAGGGCACACAGACAGAGCATCAAGGCACATGGCAGGCAGACAAGCTTCTGAGAACCCGTCCATCACTATAGTCATGCGTCAAGCTGCAGCTTCATTTAGACAAGCCATGTCATGAACTTGAATTCATGATAATGTGAGTTTTATTCTTTTTGTGGTTTTAATGCTATTTAATTTTTTTTTTTTTGGTTCTAGAAATATATACCAGCTATAAAGATAAGGAGTTTATGCCTACAACATGTCTACATATATTAAAAGAAATCCTATCACCTAAAGCAAATTAGGTCAGCAATTGGGGATTCTTGAGAATCATTTTTCTTCATATTACTTAGATTTGAACAAAGCTACTATATTCCACTCTGATTTCCACATCACTGCCAGACCAGATGTGGTCCTTAGATAAGTATCACAGCATCCATGACACTGGCTTCCTCTGGCGAACGTGGCTGTCCCCCAGCTTCTGCTGACTTTGTGGCTATGTCCTCCTGCTCCTCAATGTACTCAGCTGTACTTGCATGGGGTGCTGTCTTTCAAAATTGGAATAGCTTTCAAAGGAGTCCGTGGCAGCCTTGACTTGAGTGTGGAGGAGGGAAACTGCCCGACCAGCTACAGGATCTAAGAATCACAGGAAGGAATGAGAGGAAGTGGGCCACCAAAGGACAATAATCACTGAAATCCCCCAAAATCACTGAACACATATTTGGCAAAGCATGAATCTCTGCTGCCCAACAATACGGTCTCCTGCTTGGTCTGTTTGTTCTTTGGGCAGCAAATGGGCAGAGGTGATGATCTAGGAGGAGTGGCAGCTGCCCGCCGGGCCTCTCCTATAGCACCGCACCCATCCCCAGCATCACGGCCAGGTGGAAGAGGACATCTGTGGAGTGGACGGGACAGGAGACAAAATCGTTCCATAAGGAGAAAGGACAACTCAACAAGAATGAACAAAAGTCAGCTCAAGGGGGTCATGAATCTGCACATTGTATACAAAGCCTTTTTTGTTCTCCCCTTCAGTGTCAGTAACTCACTTTCATCAGCACAGAGAGCCCAGCAGATAAACCTGGTTGTGGACTCCCAGCAAATGCACATCTGGACTTCCATAGCAGAGAGATGGCATTTCATGGTGGGGTTTTCACTGCAGAACTTCCTTTAGAAATGAGAATCTAGGGTCTCCCCTGGTGGCGCAGAGGTTTCGCGCTGAGCTGCGAAGCTGGCCGCAGCCTCTGCAGCACCGGTTCAATCCCCGGCCACTGCCGGGGAGGGTCCCACATGGCGCACAGACCTCTCCTGCCGCACCCGCTGCTCCCCTCAGCAGTGTATTTCATCAGTCTGCCTGTTCTGTTCCCCGCTCTGGCTCTGGTGAATTCTCTTACCCTCCCGCGCTACTGACTGTACCCAGCGCTACTGACTGTACCCAGTGCTTGTATAAATAAGTAAATAAATCTTTAAAAAAAAAAAAAAAGAAAAAAAGAAAGGAGAATCTAGGAGTGGGGACTTACAAATCAGATTTGCATGATTTCTGGTCCTTGGGACAGCAAAGTCAACACCCGTGAGTGTGTTAAAAAAATAGAACTGTCTTTCCTCCATCTCCATGTGTTGCTGCCTTTTTGCCATCATTCAGGTATGATCTTGAACTGGGGTCACCGTTGAAATTTTCGTTGTCTGTGAGATTTCCTAGCTATTATCTCTTCATCCCTCTCCCACCCCGCCCCAGTTCACACAAAGCAGGAAGTGTGGAGTCTTCCTCTGCTTTGCTCCTTGCAGTAGCCACGCAGTCTAGAATAGTGCCCTGTACGGTCAGTAATTATGGCTGAGCTTTCCTGGATGTTGGCTGGGTGCTGGGCATTGTTTGGTGCCCTCAGCTGTAATATTTAATTCACACAACAGCTGCATGTGAGGGGGCAATTATTAGCCCACCTATATAATTGGAAGGTCAAGGTCAAGGCCTAAGGCCTCTCAGTTAATGAAGGGTAGAGTAATAACAGGGACTCAGAAATATTTGTTGAATGAACAGATCGTTGAAGATTGCGTTCTCTAAATGGAGGAGACTGGGAAGGGCTACCTGGGGATGCTTTGTTGTGATGCTTTGCTTTTGGGAAGCGAGATCCAATTTTGTTTCATCCAATTTACCTGAGGCTCCCCTCTTCCTTCTGAGCCCACAGGCTGACTCAAGAGAGACCTTTCTACCTCCAATCCCCTCTGCTACAGGTGTGCTGTACTGTGTTACTCTTAATTCCTAAAGTCTTTACTGGGGCCAAAGGTAAGCTGCTTTTGAGACATACATCCATCTGATAAAAGCACCACCCCCTGATGCTTTTAAATGGAAGCATCATTTCCCAGAAGTGTCTCCTTTTCTTACCTGAGAAACTAGAGAGACCGGAGAATCCCCTGCCTGTAGTGAGTAAAGAGAGAGAATGCAGAAGGTTTAAGCAAAGTTCGTGGAAACAGCAGTCTGAAATCTTTGGTTCTAAACACAAACCTGACTGTCCCCCTGATGAACCCAGGTGCCCAGCTGCCTTTGGGACAACATTCACAGGGGGTTTACAAAGCTGCATCTCACCCCATTTTTACTTGGGCTCTAAGGCAGGCAAGGGTTGGTAAACCTTCTGGAAAGGGCCAAAGAGAACAAGCTTTCAGGTAGGGGGCCAGCTGGTCTTGATTGCAGCTAATTGAGGCTGCCTTTGGGGCATGAAAGCAGCTGTAGACACTCCTCCTGAACCAGTTCCATAGACACTGAAGCTGGAATTTCAAGTCTCATGAAATTTTGTTCTGATTTGATTTTTTTTTTTTTTTTGATCACGTTAAAGGGTAAGAACTGTTCACAGCTTGCAGACCACACAAAATTAGCAGCTGGGATCCGACATTTGGTGTAATTTGTGAAGGTCCTCTAAAGTAAAGCTACTAAGAAGTCCCAGCCTTCCCCCAGGACTTGCTCACCTTCAGGTCACACTTAAAGGTTAACCTCAGAGGACTCCCCTGAGGCCTGGACTGGGTGGAATTGCCTTGTCTCAGCCTCCCCCATTAATTCCCAGCCCGCCCCTCCCCCTCTAATAGGCCACGCCCTTTCCCTTCCACTTAACATCTCCTTGCTGAACAGTGAGTCCTGAGGGCTCTCCTGAGTTTCTGAAATCCCAGGCTGCTGCACCAGGCCCAGCTTTGGCTGCCCAAAGTTTGTTGACCCAGGCTGGATGTTCCCAGAACTTTAGTTTTCTATTGTTATCCCTGACTGCAGGCTCTGGGAGTTCAGCACTTCCTCATTCCTTGGGGGCATTGGAACTTAGGCTGCAGAAAGAGCTTTTCAGGGTTGTTAATAAACCTCAACTCCTTGAGCAATGCCCCCACCCCCCATGGGAGGCTGGAGGAGGCTGGAAGGCTGTGCCTACAGGCATAGCTGGTTTGGTAATTCGGTGAAAATGCTCCAACCCACTGTGCCTGTGGCTGCAGCCCAGCGGGAACTCAAGTGTGTGGAATCCCAGAGGCTTACTGGGCAGGGCGAGCTCCACCACCAGGACGCCCCCTGTCTGGTCCCGGAGCAGCCGCTTGCGTTTGTCACAAGTCTGAAAACCCACAAGAGGTGAGGGGTGAGAAAGTGAGGCGGGTAGAGGTGAGGATGTGAGGGGTGAGCAGGTGGGGGGTGGGGGTTGAAGGGTGGGGAGGTAAAGGGCAGGGAGGTGAGGTGAGAAGTGAACACAGGACAGAAAAGATAAGAATTAAAAATAAATGTCACAAAAGTGGTACAGTCAATTTTTTTCCAATCAATATTCTAGTAACCTCGTATCTTTTATAACTCAGGGATCTTTTTCATCCCTTCTCGAACGTGACAATGGGAAGAAAACAATATTAACTCTTCAAGCTGGAAGATGTCTGCCTGGGAGGGGTCCCTAGTTGTGGGAGGCGTGGACCCCACTTCTCTTGATGGAAGCACGGCTGTCACTACTCTTGCCACCAAGATTTGAGAAGTGGATCCTTACAAAATGTGTTCTGGCTCATTTTCTGCCCCCCTCCCCCTCTGAGTACCAGAAACAATTCTTCAGTAATTGTAGATTGTCTCTCTGCTTCTTTCCTTTCTGTATTTGTTCTTGTCAGTGACCACTTTCTGGCCAAATGAATGAAAAGAGATAGACTGTGATCTGATTTCTGTGGGCTCCCACAGGTCGGCTGGAGCAGCCATCCTCACGAACAGTCTCTGCTCCAAATAGACCAGCGGAGGTGACAGCTTGGGATTGGGCGCTGTTAGTTCTCTGGGGCAGTGAGGTTCTCAAATCTGAGGCGGCCTTGGAATCACCTAAAGGACTTGGGGTTTCTGGGCCCACCCCAGAGTTCCTGGGGTGGGGCTTAGGAATGGGTCTGGGAATTTGCCTCCCTAGCAATTCACTGTGCGTGCTGACTGATTCTGCGGTGATTTCTTGGTGGCTTGCGCAGGGCCAACAGATTCTGACTTGAGCTCTGCTACACAGGCCTGGCAGCTGGAGCCCCTTCCTCTCACAAGGTCAGATCAGCTGTGACCCCATGTCAGGAATGGCTGCAGCCTCTCCCTGGTCCATCTCAAGTCCCAGACTATCTGAACTGAACATACCTACTTTTTTGACTTCCTGCCAAAGCCTACCGTTACTACCTAGATTTTTAATTTCCCTGGTGCTTCTAACTTGTTCAGAACATTTCCTTGTCTGTCATTAGTTTCATTGCATCCAATCTTGCTGTCTGAAAAGGGAGCCTTATCACTGCTTGTCGAACCACCACTGTATCCTTAAAGAGCAGAAAAGCAGGCTCCAGTGGTTAAGTGACAGGTCCGTGCAGCTTGTCGTTGGCAGGATGGACAGTACCTGGCGCGACGGCCTCACCCCAGTGCCCTTTTCCCCAGAATGCCCTCAGCACACTCCCACACGGGCACGGTGACTGTTTCCCCAGCTAAAAATACAGCTTCTCAAATACCAGCCTCCTGGGGTAACATCATGCAAGAGGGGGCTCACCACGGGGCAGGAGAGCTTCTCACTGTCACAGATGAACGTCTCACAGTGTAACCAAACCTTGGAGAGTTTGGGGATGTTCTGGAACCGGAAGGCATTGAACTGGAAGGTTGCCCTGTGATCCTTTCCGTTCTCATGCACGAGGACCGTCTCATCAGTGGGGCAGCTGAAGCACAGGGTGGGCAGGAGGGAGGAGAGATGTTACCTCTCTGAACAAAGGTGGGGGCCTCTGAGGCAAATTCATATACAGCCGTGGCCTCCTGGACTGCCCCAGCGGCTGTCCTCACAGCACCTCACTGATCCTCAAGGCTCTGAGGTCACCTTGGGAAGCTACTAGAAGGTTGTGAGCGCCCCCATCCTATAGACAGCTACAGCTGAGGGTGACAGATGAGAAGCCACAACCCTAGTAACACACTTGCCTGTCCCAAAGAAGCAAAATCCCCTGAGAGAAAGCCCTGAGGGCTGGAAGAGGCACGCCCCCGGGCTCCACTTTCTATCAAGATGATGGCAGCAACCCGAAGCCCAGCACACCCACTTTCTGGGCATCTCGAGGTTTGCCCTTAGGGTTGAAATTCTTGTTGATATTACTCCAATGCCATCTCTGTATATGTAAAACTGAGATCATGCTTTTAATATGAAACCAAAAGACTCGAAGAATTGTATCTAATTTTCACTTTGGCTATTGACAGCAGCCGATGGTGACATCGCGGACAGTTTGTTTTATCTTCTTAGTGTCTTTATGTATTTTCCATTCTCTATAATGAGAAAGTAATACTTGGGAAGTCCCAAAGGTAATAGTTGGCAGTAAAAGAAGAAAGGATGACAAAGGTGGACATTTGTCAAAGACAGTGGTTCTCAGCTGGGGGGCATTGGGCATGGTGGGTGTCATGACGGAGGGAGGAGCTACTGGCATCTGGTGAGCGGGGGCCAGGGTGCTGCAGAACATCCTGCAATGCACAGTCAGCCCCCTACAGAGAATGATTCTGATGTCACTGGTGTCGAGATGGATGAAACTTGGTTTAAGCAAAATATTTTTGCATTTACCAGCCACACAATGCATGCTAGTTGCTTAAGAGCCAGACGTTTGACCAAGTGTTGGGCACCCACACAGTTGTTCCTGAGAATGCACTGTGAGGCTCACACACGAGTGGAGAGGTGTGGTCTGCAGGGCTCAAGGAGCAGCAGAGTCTGTGGTCTGGGCAGAAAGGCCTATGGGCCCCAAAGCTTCAGGCCAGTGGACAGCAGCACCATGGACCCATAGTGAGTGCCCGTCCCGAAGAATCTCCCTGTCAAACTCAACACACACTAGAGCATGGTCCAGCCCTCTCCCTGCCAGAATTTTTGTGATGTCTATTCCTCAACTTGGCTCCATCAGCACTAGTTACTAGGGGCCAGATTGGAGGTGCGAGAGAAGAGGGAAGCAAGGTTAACTCTGAGGGCCAGTGAGTGAAACAAGGAACGAGCATGGCGCCTCTCTCTGGATCAGGGGTCGGAAATTGGACTGTGTGATGGCCTTTGTGCACTGTCGGAACCAGAGGCATTTTCCGAGTTGTGAAACAAGACTCTTGCAGGACTGTTTGGTCAATAAACCCAAGATCCTTGTTTGAACTCAAGATGAGAGTCCTTAAAATAGCTCCCTGAGGCTGAGGTGGCCGAGGCCTGGTGTCAGCAATGGAAAACAATGTAAACAGAGCCCTCTGGGGCTCCAGCCAAGCCTTGGGCAGGCCCATGATCCCTCTGCTGTACGCTGCCAGGTCGCTCACAGCCACAGGGAGGCTGCACACCATCCTACTAGACTCTCCTTCCCCACATCAAATTAAAATTCCTGATAATATTTAATCTCTCCAGGCCCTTTTGAAAACTAGGTTTCCCTTCAAAAAGGCCCAGCGGCCCTTTTGAAGCCAAAAGCGTGTGGGAGGTGGTAGGCGTGGACCAGCTCATTCTCCCCTTCAACACTGAGCCTGGTGTCTGTCTCTCCAGCCTCGAGGCGCTGTTTCAACCAGGTGGAATATGCAAATAGCTTGGGGTTTCTTCAACTCAGCTGTGTCCCTGTGTGGATACTGTCTGAGAGTTTCCCAGGGTTTGATGGTAATTTCGGGACCCTGTAGGTCAAGAATTTATTTCAGAATCTCCTTGAAGTTATCTGATTGCACCTCGTCAACAGAACCTAAATCAATCCTGCAGTGACAGAAGTGCCATAAGCACCCAGACTGAGCTCCCATTTCTGCAGGAAGAGCTGCTGAGTCCTTGTGTGGCTCTGCTGACCTGTCCGCTCTGGCTGCTCAGGACATAGCTCTCCTCGGCTTGAACCTGCTCAACCATTCCCTTACTAGCTGGAGGCTTGGGCAAGTTTCTAGATCTGTCTGTGCCTTGGTTTTCTCGACTATAAAATCATGATTATTATGGGCCTCCCTGGTGGCTCAGGCGTTAAAGTCTCATTGCTATCAAGCTATTGCCTGCCCCTGCAGCACAAGTTTGATCCCCGGCCATGGAGCTACCCACATGGCACACAGATCTCTCATGTCTCGCCTGTTCCCCTCAACAGGGTATTTCAGTAGATCCACCTGTTCTGCTTCCCACTCTGTCTCTGGTGAATCCTCTCACCCCCTGTACCTCTGGCCTGTGCCCCAGCTCTTGTATGCATAAATAAATAAAAATAAATCTTTAAAAAATATATATTTTAAACAGTATAAATCATGATTATGACTACTAGCTACATTATGGGGGTGGTGGTAATGAAATTTAAATTAATGGTTGTAAAGCACCTACCTGAAACATGTTTGGTATGTTATGTAAGTATGTCAGTGTTTGTTAAATAAAAATAAAGGTCTAGAGTTGCTCCCCCTTATTAGCTAACCATCTTTGTCCCCGCCCCATGTTTACACAGCCTGGAGGGTTGGGGGCAACACAGGCACACTGGTCTCTGTTTGGGGAGTGTTCTCTTCTGGGCTTATTGCTCATTGTATGGATAATGCCCACGCCTCCAGTCTAGGCAGCCTCCTGTTTCCAGCATTATAATTCTTAGTGCTTGCAAACAATTGCCCTCACAATCTCAGTGTGTCATCTGCACTCAAGGAGAATCCAAACTCCCTCATCTAGAAACCCCCTTCTCCTGCAGCCAACAGCAAACAATTCCCTCACCTTTGTGATCCACAGGCTTAATACAAATCCATGTTGGTCACATATTCCTCAGATGGCTCGCTCTGTCCTTCCCTCCACCCCAAAGCCACCGGTTGCTAAATTTTTATCCCTTCCCCTCCCTTGGACGAACTTTCCATTCACTTGGCCGCAGCCTGTCAGGTCTTGTCTATCTCTTGGGAGGCAGATAGCTGCCCTGGCCCCTGATCTGCTCTTCCCAGCTCCCTTGTGCTGTTTCTAAGTCACCTACAACACCCAGAATCATCTTTCTAGGGTGCAACCCCAATGCTTTAGTTCTCTCCTAAAAAATTCTAGTGAATTAACGTAAAAGCAATATTATTTTAATCTATAGGCTACTATGTGCTAAGTTTTTTTTACATGAATTATCTAATTTAATGCCACCAGGGGTCTAATGTAAGACTGATTGGATTTGAACCCAGCTTGCCCACTTACCCTTAACACACACACACGCACATGCACACACACACACACACACACGATGTGATATTGTTTACCCCCCCCCCACATGATGTGACATTGTTTAACCCTCCTGTGCCTCAGCTTCCTCATGTAATGGGGATGATAGTAGTAATACCTATCTGTTGTAAGACATGCCTTCAAGAACAGTAGCTGGTACTTAGAAGCACTCTGTTTCCCAGCACCAGTACTCAGCCTGGAAGACAGAGGAGGGCCCAATAGGCTCACTCTTCCTTCCAAGCTATCCTGAGCCAGGGAAGACCTGGCTCGTCATGTCCCCACCTCTCAACCCTGTGCTCCAGAGTGAACCTACCCCTTGCTGATGAGCTGCCACTGCAAGGGATACATGAAATCGGCCGAGGGTGTGGCCCAACAGCTGTTCAAAACCACTTTAAACCTGGAAATAAAACAGAGTGCACCACTTTGAGCCAGAGAATCATGTGTCATAGAAATATCTGGCAAGTACAAAATCTCTTGGTTGGTCTTTTTTTTCCTTTGTATTTAAAAATAATAACATAAAGGGAAAACACTTACCTAACACTTAATCCTTTGGCTTCTACTCCTGCAAACAGATCAGAACCAATTTCGGATGTCTCCAAGACAAAAGGGGCTTCTTTCTTCATGGAGAACTTGGCATTCTTTGGAGGGAAATTGACAAAGGGCATTATGACCTCTTAGACTGAGCAGTTGGGTCTGACAGGAGCAGGTGAGTTGGGTTGGACCAGGGTGGAATCAACCCAAAGGCACAGACATGAGGCACTCTAGGACAAGTGAAACTGTCCCTCCTAGGATGTTGTGCATCTTCCATGCCAACGAGAGACAAGATTTGGTTAATGGGAGAAAACAAGTGGAATCCAGCGGTGCTGAGCGCTGCTCTTTACCAGATCACACAAAGGCAGGGGACCAAACACCCCACTCAACCTGCTCACCACTGCTATTTACTGAGCAGAGTCCAGCCTGGGCTGGAAAGTTTATGATCAGATTCCTAACATATCAGCGGCAACAACAGCAGCTTGTTGGCCACCTACAATGTGTTAGGGGTTGCTCTTTATATTGGGAGTGTCTCTCTATCAGGATAGTCTGTATTTGAGCCACGCCAGTGAACAAAACAAAAATCTGTTTCTAAATCTCCTGATATTCTAGAAAGGGAGACAGATAAGACAAGTTACATAGGAGGTAAATTATTTAGTATGTTAGAATAGAACATAGTGTGCTTTATAGAAAAACTACGGTTCAGGATAAGGTGGATTGGGTCTTTGAGGAGGTGCAAGTTGCAGTTTTAAATACAGTGGTTGGGGAAGCCTCATTGAGGATGTTACATGTGAGAAGAGGCTGGAGAAGGTGAGGAAGGGCACCACTGCAGGCATCCAGGGAAGTGTGTATCAGCCAAGGCAAAGTCCCTGGGGTGAGTCTGGCTGCCAGACAGCAGGGAGGCCAGAGAGGCTGAAGCATGGGTGAGCAAAGGGCAGGTGGAGGATGGTAGGTAGTGGAGGGGTGTGGGAAGCAGGAGATAAAGTTAGAGAGGCCATGGGGGTGGACCCAGAGGCTTTGGCTTTGACTTGAAGTATAATAGGAGCCACCACAGCAATTCTCACAGCAGCTTCCAGTCACTGGCCTTGCATGTCTGGTCTTCACCTGCCATCCAGGCAATTCTGGGGGAGCTATTAGGAGTAATAGTAGTGTTTGCAGTGACTTACCCAAAGGAGGCTGAATTCTCCATTCTTTGAATCTTGGGACCATTCAACTCTACTTACAACCTTTAACTACTCTTCATTTTAGCCTCCAGTGACAAAAGCATGATAGAAAGACAAGGGTCCTGGACAAATCCTGGCTCCCACTACTAACATGAGGCACACTATAGGGAAGTCAGATTTTGGGGTCTCAGTTTCCCTATTACAAAATGGGAATAATTTCTGGCTTCACCTACCTTGCAGAAAATCTGATGATGATTTTATGTAACAGAAATATGAAATTAGAGCAGGCTATTAGTTAAAAGATTGTGTTTCACAATCTTAGAGATTTATAGAACAGAATAGGTAGTGGCAGCAAGGAGCTATCATTAAAATACTTTAGTCGCCATGGGTCAAGTTCAGGAATATACTGCAAGGCCTCAGAGTCATCTTCCAGTGCCTCTGACATTATTTTACTGACTGATGGTTGAGCCAGCATGCCCTGATTCAGTCACTTATCAGTCAGTTTTTTTCTTGCAATCTGTCAGCCCTCTGCACCTCTTAGTTGCAAAAATGAAGCAAAAATTTTTTATTTGTGAGTTACCAGCTTAATATGCCTGTTGAAGAAGCAGTTTTTTAATGTTCCATGTTGTTTTCTGAGATTCGCCGTATTTCAACGGACTGTTTCCAATTCTGGACCTAACCTGGGAGTCACAAAATAAGCCTCAAATCTATCCAGAGGAACTTCTTGAAGCTTCATCTCTCAGGGACCAGCAGCAGAATATCTGAGTATTGGAAGAACATCTCTACTGCCTAGGAGAATAGAATCTGCATCATCAGTTCAATTTCTCAAATAAAACACTTTTAAAGGTTAGTTTCTCTGCCTCATCTGACAGCTAAGGACATCTCTCCCTGCTTCCTGTATATCATGAACAATAGAGACCTGTTTCCAGGTAACTTCACCCTATAATGTCTGGACAGCATCCCTGGAAACAGAAATACCACACAAACTACTCATTCATCACACAGGATGGAAGACATTGAAAAGTCAGGCCATTCAATTCCTTTACCTACCACAAGGTTAAATCACGTCTGAGCTAGGATGGGTATATAAAGTTTAACAGCAGTTTGTGTGAGAAAGATCTGGGAGTTGCTTTTGCTTACAACCCAACATCAGATAGTGGTGAAGAAAAATGTCCCTACAGTCTTCCAGAACCAAAAAAGGTCACCTCTGGCTCTGGCCTCAACTGGTCTGATGAGGTCTAGAATATAACATTTCAATTCTGGATTCCCTTTTTTAATAGAGGTGCTGACCAATTGGACCATACTCTGAGAAAAGTGAGGAAGATGATAAATGGACACCAACAGAGGGAAGGTGTTTGCCTTGGGAAGCACAATCTTGAGATGGTTGAAGGACTGTCAGCAAGATCATCACATGGGTATTATTTCAGAAAACAGGACCAGGACCAACAGGCCACAGTTCAGGATGTCAGATTTCAGACTGTTAGGAAATGAGAAGGTTCAACTTGCCATTTTCCCTGGCAGAGTGAGGAGCCTGCCCTTCAGCAATCATGCAAAAGAGTTTCTGGTTTTGAGTGGAACATCAAGGTTAACCACCTCTGAGGTTTGTTCTGACTCTGGAGAGCTATGATTTTGGTCTCTCTTGCTTTTTTTCTTTGATTTCATCTTACAGTTTTGCATTTGTCCATCTAGCTAAGCAGTACCATTGAATAAAAGTGAGCCTAATCTCACTTTAACATTGATGCTCAGCTCTAGAAAGATAATGAGGCAGGCTGTTTCCACTTTAAATGGGGTCAAAGTCCACAATCTTGAGAATGATAACTTTTTCTGACACTTATGCCCAGCACTATGCTAAATGTCTCTTAAGAATTGTTTCATCTCATCCTCCTGACAAACCTAAGAGGGAAGTGCTATTACTACTCCTCTTTAATAAATGCATCGGTAAGCCCAGAGAGGTTAACTGACTTGCCCAAGGTCACACAACTAGTGACTAGAGGAACCAGATTTAAACCACTAATGACAAGGCCTATTTTCTTCGGCACAGCACAGGCTGCTTCTGCAAGCTGACCTCCTTCCTTTATTTTGGATAGGGAGTCAAAATAACTTTTCACCAAGAACACCAACCATGGCAGGAGTGAGTGGGAGGAGAGAAGAAAGAAGCACGTTGAGTAGAACTGGGGGTTTGGAGCCCAGCATTTGGAGTTCTCGGAATTCTAAGCAATTAGCAGAGCACTGATGCCATTGTGCAATCTAGGGCACAGCTCTGTCTCTGGTAATTTGATGGAAATATATGCAGGGAGCAGCCCTTGCTTCAGAAACACACAAGAATGCTCTCAAAGCGGAAGAAGGGAGGAGAAGAAAAATACCAACCCGTGGGTCAGGCATAGGAAAGCGAGTCCATGGTGGGAATATTAATCAGTACAGAAGTCTCTGTTGTAACATCAGAGTCCCCTCTTTGCTGAGTTTCTTTTCTCCTGAAAGGGTCTTGGGGAGTCCCATGGGAGCCTGAATCTCATTTCCAGAACAGTTCAAGGAAGCATGCTGTTAAGTATGGCTAGTCCAGAGGATGGCCTGGGAGATGCCATAGACATGCCTCTTTATTTAGCCCCCCCTTTTTTTTTTTAAAGTTCTAAGATTTGATACTTATATCAAAAACCTATCTCACCATGACTGATGTATTTTGACATCATGGGTGATGATTTTTGATAATCCTGGTGCCTTTCCATTTCCTGATGTCATAAAATCCTTGGAGGGTCATAGCTATTTACTGGCTTAAAACAACAGTTGCACACACTTCTTGACAGGGATGCAGCAGTTAACCAGTCTTTGCTCAGGACATTTCCTGAGGCTGAGGTCAGTGCGCAAAGCCCCTTTCCTTTCTGGACAACCTTCATCAGCTACTACAGTAGTCTTGCCAACTTCCACCACCATGGCGGTCCATGCTGTATGAACCCCCACCCCCACCCCCACCCCCGATTACAACAGGTCAAGGAGCTCTACGTGATTCCTTTTCTCAGGACTTAACCACTAGTGGTGTGTGGCCAGGGGCAGATGTAGATTTTGTGGGACCTTGCAGCTTATGTAATTCAGAGAGCCTTCTTTAATAAAAGGAATCAAAAATTTTGCATACAAAACTAGAGGTTTTGCATATGAAACTTAAGTTTCTTTCCCTGAGTAGTAAGTGTGCCCCAGAGATCAAGGTTAGGTGATCTGGGTCCAGAATGGGTATGGATCTCAGCTACCTGCTGGATCTTGGACAGATCATTTACTTCTTCTAGCTTTAGATCCTCATCTGTAAGTGGACTAGATTATTCCAGGATCCCTTCTAACTCTCACCTTCAGAATACAGCAAAGCCAAGAGCTTCCAAGGATCCGGTAAAGCAAATTCAAAGAGATCAAGGAGAGTGGCATTCCAGATAATTTAGTTGTTTCTTGTGTGAAATGAATGGGTTGGGCATAGTGTCCTCTGAGGATACCTCCCAGTTCTAAGGTCCTATGTAAAGGTTTCTATTTCTGTCTGCATCTTCCTTCCAGCTGGGCTACTGTCGCTATGTGCATGCCTCCTCCTGGAGGCTGCAGGATTAAAAGACAAAGCTTCCCTTCTGAACAGGGGGGAAAATGCGCCAGGGGTCACTGACTATGTTTCTCTGAAGCACTTTATTTTGAGAGACCAAAGTGTCCCTTTAACTTCAGTGTCAACATAGACAGCCAAATTAGACAGTGAGGAAGCCCAGTAATGGAGAGATTTTGGAGACCAAAGAACTAGACCACAGAGGCCAACCCCAGTCTCCTTAGCCATACCAAACTCACTACTCTGTGTCCAGGTTTTATTAAGTGCTAGATCTTAAATATGAATCTTCAGAGTGGATTGCAGACTAATCTTGATGATGAGTTAGACAATGGCTGTCATACTGATGACTGACTTTCAGCAACCCACAGGATTACTCTTGCCTTCATTTTTCTCATCTGTAAAATGGGAAGGTTGACCTTATATCTCTGTGGCACCTTTCAACTCTTCTATCCAGTCTATAAATCTGACTTTCTGTTGTATCTAGTCTTTAAAAGAGGTTGAAAGCTAGATCAAAGCTTACATCTCCACTTGAATTCAAGAATGGGGATCTGCATAGTCTCAATGAAGAACAAATCCTGAAGAAGCACCCCATCATCCCATCACCTCATGGAAAGGTCACGGAGCAGAAATGGAACCCGGAAACCACTTACAGTGTAGAAGTTGAGAGACAATTGGCTTTCAAATGTGCCCATGCTCCCATTCTTCACATGAACAGTGGCCACTCTGAAAAGGGGAGAGAATTTTGCATAAGGACTGAAACATGCCTGGTTGACAGGGACTGCAGAACACACACAAGGCAGCCAGCCCTCCGCTCAGCAGAGCAACTTACCTCTGGTCAAAGGCTGCCTGGTTCACCAGGTAGGTGGAGTGGTAGGTGCAGGAGAAGGAATAGTTCACGGGCTGGTTTTTTAAGATCACTTGGCTGTCATTGGAAACAATGTGGCTGTAGAAGTGGTAGATGGGGGGCTTGTACTGGAGAAAGGAAGAAGGCAGTTAGGGTAAGCCCCATGTCGCCATGATGGAAATGAGGATTCTGGGAAAAATGGAAGAAGATGGTGTAGAAAAAGCCCAACGGGAGACAAGAGTGTCTGCCATTAAGAGCAGCGCCCATCTTTTTGGCCTGTGCATGAGTTGATCATTTTTGTAAAGAGTTCTTGAGACTGTTCAACAAGCCTTATTTAAAATAATCTCAGTTTAATGTTATATGTTTAAAATAAATCCATATCCTGTTGCATTTCTGACCAAAAAGAACTGACTCAAGAATCTCTGTTTTTCCAGTATCAACTTTTTATTTCTTTCCCTAAGTAATCTTAAATCAGTGCCTTTGCTCAGCTCCCATTTCTAGACTGTCACTCTATTATTTCTTTGATTTTTCCTTCTTTTTCTTTTCTTTTTTTTTAATGTATTTTTTTAAAAAAATTTATTTATTTATACAAGCATTGGGTACAGTCAGAAGCCCGGGAGGGTGAGAGAATTCACCAGAGTCAGAGCGGGGAACAGAACAGGCAGACTGACGAAGTACACTGCTGAGGGGAGTAGCGGGCGCGGCAGGAGAGGTCTGTGTGCCATACGGGACCCTTGCCCAGCAGCTGGGGATCGAACCGGCGCTGCAGAGGCTGCGGGCAGCTTTGCAGCCCAGGGCTCAACTGCCACGCCACCAGTGAGGCCCCTGAGCACTTTTTCTAAGACTCTTCCCTCTGACTTAGATTCTGAAAGTACAGAATATTGGAGCCAGATGGGATCTTGAATACCCACTTAAGAAGTGACGTACCTAAAACCACACAAATAATTTCTAGTTCACTTTACTAGAATTCCCAGAGATAAAGTCTTTGTTAATTATGCCCCTGACTCTTCCCACTAAATCTCTATTACTTTGAAAGGACTTTAGGAAGAGGAGGAGGGTCTGAGAGCTCTTGATCCTCATTTTCTGATACCCAATAGATTACATTCTTCTGCAGTCAAGGCAGTGGGGAGACTAGATTTCAGCAAGATGATCAGAAGACAATCTCCCTTCATAAGTATGCTCCACCAGTTCTGTGATCCCCAACCAATGCCTTATTAGAATTTCTCTGTCATATCAGGATGCTTGGGAAGAGGTTGTCTGAGATTCATTTTAGTTCTGATTTCTTGTCCTGGATCAGTCACAAGACCCAATTATGAGTGGTACTATTCTTTGGTGACTCCTTTAAAATAAATGTCATTCCAAATGCACTTTATAGCCTCTTCAAAATCTTGGGCACAGGATGTCCCATCCATCCAACCCAGGACATACTCAGAACCTGAAATAGGTGAAGGTAGGAAATGTACTTTTTTACTCCCAGAAGGTGACTTATCTGTTTCCAGTAACAAATTAAGAGAATAAAACTCAAATCCAAAAAGAGACATCAAAACTAGGCAGAAGAGAAGAATTTGAATATCACTAATGTCACAGAAAATAAGAATCAGAATTGACTCCAATTTCCAAGGTAATTGGAAAATTCTTAATCTTTTAAAGGCAGACAGCAGACATCTTCTTGGGCCCAGCCGTGTCCTCTTAGTGACTTCTAACTGGACTTACCTCAGACTGAGTTCCACAGTAGGACTTGTTTTTAGGTGACAAATCTGGAATAACAAATTGGTAGTAACCTCCTTCGTGGACCCCATTATAACACATTCCACCGAGGGCTAGCTGGTGTACTTCCCATCCATACGGGCACTCGGGGATTTTGGTGATGATGGTTTTGGGATAACAAAATACAAGAATGACATCTGGAAAGATTTGAAATTAGATATGCAATCATATTAGAACAGTGGGTTCTAGCCACATTTAAATAGGCAAAGTTGTTTAAAACCACTTTCCTTGCTATTTTCATGAGCTGTCATAAAAATTTCCCCCAAATCTCAGTCTTTGAACTTCCTCTTTTATGGTCTTTCCTCCATCCTTACAATATCTGCACTATATTTAATACAGATTCAACATTGGTGCACATTTAAACCTTAATCTTTAAATAATGTATCTGTGAAAACAGATTGGATATACTATTTAAATCCCATGAAAATGAGCACCTATTTTTTAAAAAAAGTCCATTTTATGTACAACACTGTTCAACACAGGCCAGAAATTCAATAGTCACATAGGAAAAAATGTGGAGATTTTATGTCGATCATCTATTTAGCATTCTCTAATTTTCAAAAAGTCTTAATTTATGGGCCTCCCTGGTGGTGCAGCGGTTGAGCCCTGGGCTGCGAAGCTGCCTGCAGCCTCTGCAGTCCCGGTTCGATCCCCGGCCACCGGCGAGGGTCCCACATGGCGCTCAGACCTCTCCTGCAGCACCCACTGCTCCCCTCAGGTGTGTATTTCGTCAGTCTGCCTGTTCTGTTCCCAGCTCTGGCTCTAGTGAATTCTCTCACCCTCCCGTGCTTCTGACTGTACCCAGTGCTTGTATAAATCAATCAATCAATCTTTAAAAAAAAAGTCTAAATTTATCCAATATATTTTCATTTCCTGTGGGGACAGTCTGGTTGGCACGAGAGGCTTCCATTCAGCTACATTACTGCCTTTTCACAACCTGAAAAGCCCAGAGCTCTGAGCTTTGCAAAGGGGCCCTGAGGAGACCTTCCTTCCCAGGGCAGAGGGCTAGCCCAGGCGTACCTGCTTTGTTTGGCGTGCACGATCTCCCAGAGGCTTCCACAAAGATGGCCAACAGGATGAAGGCCCTCATCATCATGGATGTTCAGAACCTGGCCAAACGGAGCTGGGCCAAGTATCTCTGGTCTTGTCAGGGCCCGAGCCTCAGACTAGATCAGGAAACACGAGTGAGAAGTTAAAATCAAGGGCGAGAATGAAGCAGAACACTCAGTCACGGGGGTCGGGAGTGGATTCCAAGTTGCCTCGCCTGTTACTAAGGGGTCCTCATCTGCACCCACAGGCAGAGCGTGCCTCACTGCTGGGATTGTCAGCGCCACAGGAGGGTGCTCAGGTGCCCGGCTGCCTGGCTCATCCTCTCAGGACTCTGGATGCTGCTTCCCGGGTCTTTCCCGAATCTCCGGCCCCAGTTCTAACTTGAATTTATATAGGCCGACGTTGTAAAAGAAACCGGCTGCTGATAAATCACAAAGAACTCACATTATCCACCGTGGGGGAAAAAAGAGGGGGAGCTTGCACAGTAATCTGCAGGGAAGCTCGGTTACTGCCACTTGAGTCTAATTTCTTTGACTTCACAGAGTTGGAAAACCTTTTTTGTTAACTGCTCCACCAAGATTGAAAAAAAAAGTTGAATTTTCCTCCCTCGTACAAAAAATAGCTGACTGGAGGCAAACTAATTTCTGCATAGAGACAAATTTCTTGCTGTCTTTATTTTATTTCTTGCATTCTTATTTTTATAGTTAGACTATCTAAACTATAAACTTAGAAGACTCAAGTTCAGCAGTTGTGACATTTGATATGAAAACTAAAATAGGGTATTTGTGTTCATGCAAACACGTTAAGGCTTTTTTCCTCTAGTATTTTCTAATCAGCTCTGAGCTTCTAGCGTATCACCTTGTAGTTAATCCAAAACGTCACCACTTTTGAAGAGAGATCTCCAGGCTCCTAAAGTTTTGTTAGTTTCCTAGAATAATGACATTGGAAGAAGGCACTTAGAAAGGCAATCTTATGTCAATTCTTAGCACCCAACAAGATTTCACTCTAAACACAACAGATAAAATGCTATTTCTGGGAAGTTCCCAAAGATGGTACCTGTGATTTTTTAGCACCCAAAAATGTAAGAATGAAAAATAAGGGTATGTTTTGATTTTTTTGTTCTTCGAGGAAACAGACCCTTATCAATCAAATGAGAGACTGTTATACAGAAGCTACTACGTTAAGCCCTTTGAGAGACAGATGTAGGAAGTGTAGAAAAATGCCCAGTCTTGCAGGAATATAAGATAGCTGAAAAACTGAATTATATATCAACAATGACTCAGGCTTAGAATACCGGCTGAAGTCCTTGCTCTGCTACTTGTCATATTTTTAGTTAAGATGCAGGCCTGCAAGTACACATTACTTAATGTCTCAGAAACACTGGGATGTGTCCTGTAAGCAATATGCAAGCATAGTATGGTTGTTTCCTTATGTCCTAAAGCCTATTTAAATTGATAGTATGCCTGACCACGATGGTGTCCCAGAATTGAGGAAACAGCTACATGACACACCATTAAACATTTCTGGGACTCAGTTTCCTTCTCTGTAAATGGGCGTCATAATCCAGCGCTTCCCCCACAGGGTGAAGGCTTTAATAAAGTGCTAGATAGATAAACAGATGACATAAAAAGGTAAATGGCAACTTCTGGTGACATTTATACATCCCTGAGTTGTTTTACTTTTCCTTAAAAGTATCACAAAGTGTCCATGGTAAGAGTAATGTCATTCAAGACATATCTGTAATGTATGACACATGCGGAGTTATTTTAGTTTGTGGATAAAAACCACATGGATAGGGCCTCCCCGGTGGCACAGCGGTTGAGCGCTGGGTTGACAAGCTGCCCGCAGCCTCTGCAGCACCAGTTCGATCCCCGGCTGCTCCCCGGCCACCGGAGGAGGGTCCCACATGGCGCGCAGACCTCTCCTGCCGCCCGCTGCTCCCCTCAGCAGTGTACCTCAGTCCTTCTGCCTGCTCTGCTCCCCGCTCTGGCTCTGGTGAATTCTCTCACCCTCCCACGCTTCTGACTGTACCCAGTGCTTGTATAAATAAATAAATAAATAAATAAATAAATAAATAAATAAATAAATAAATAAATAAATCTTTAAAAAAAAAAAAACACACATGGATGAAGAGGGGAGAAGGAGGGAACATTCATTTCCTTTTACACTGAGTCTGAGTTTAGTGTGGCCTGGAAACATCAGAAGCTGATGCTGATCACCCTAGTTCATTTCAGGCCTTACGTTCTTCAGAAGAAAAAGGTACATGTAAATTTTCTGAATTTCTCTTTTCTTTTTTAAGTTAAGAATCATTTTTATTTTTATTATTTTTAATACGGTTTGTTCATTTATATATATTTTCTTTTCTAGGGCTTAGCATTAACTTGGTGCTTCTTCCTTCCTTTAAAAAAATCATTGAAAAAAAATCACTTATTGAGCCCTACCATATTTCAGGCACTGAACTAGACACTGGGAAGATACCAGCAAGTCAGTGGAGCTAGCATGTGGGTAGGGGGAGGTGGGAACAACGCAGAGAGATGGAAATCTGTACTGGGGAGGAGGGATGGAGAGGTGGGAAAATGGGAAAATCTAAGTGATTGACAGAGGAAATAACAAGTAAGCCAAGTCTCAGAAGTCAAAAATAGTTTAGTTTCATAAGGACTGTCCCTTCAATATCAATAAATATCACTGATAAATGCTGTATTAATGAATGTTGCTATTTATTATTGCCTAAATATTGCTATTAATAAATAATCATATTCAGTGTGTGTTGAGATACTTATTCCTATTTCAAGAAGTTCTTTTTCACCCACCTTGGATGATGATATCTCAATGTAGGTCCATCATTCGCAACAAATGTACGACTCTTAGTAGGGGATAATGATAATGGGAAAGGTGGTAGGTAGGATATCGCTGTACCTTATTCTCCATTTAGCTCTGATCCTAAAATGGTTGTATAAAGTCAAGTCTTAAGAAAAATAAATAAAAGTTTGAAATAAAAAAAAAATATCCTTTTCAGCATGCTTGACCCAAGCCGGTCAGTAGGTTTATCTTGTCTTAAACTCAAAAGTGCAGATTTCACTCATGATGAGAGCTGCAGGGGAAACAAAGGCCTTTGCTGTCTCTCAGGGACATGTCTGCAGGACACCTGTAAGATTCCACGAGGCAGTGTGGGGTGAGGTTGGGTAGATGGGCTCTGTGGTTGGCCTGAGGTCCAAAGTCCAACTCCACCACTTCCTGGCTGTGTGTTCTTGGCTGTTACTACTTAGCTTCTGTGAACTCCATCCTCTCCTTCCTGAAAGGGTTTGATACTCTCTATGACACAGTGTTCTCAGAGTAATACATTATATATGTATATGTATATATATATGTATATGTGTATATATGTGTGTGTGTATATCTATATCTATATCTATATCTGTATCTATATCTATATCTATATCTATATCTATATCTATATCTATATCTATCTGCTAGCGTAAATGTGACTGATTTTCCTTTGCAACGGCAGGGGATCATGCTCAGTTCTGCTGAGGAAGTCCATGGAGGGAAGTGTATTAGGAGTGGGTCACCACCAGACAGTATACATTTTTGATACTAAAGTTGAACTATGTCATATGTAACTAATAGCACAGGAACTGAACACATGACTTTGCTCTGTCACATTTTCAATTGTGCTATTTCAGAGAAACAACTTGGGCCGTCCAAGCTGTTATTTTCCAAATCTGTAAAATCAGGCTTCCTATCCTCAATGACTATTGCAGGGCCCTAATGAAGTAATACATGCAACTTGCTTACCACAGAGCCTGGCACGCAGTAAGTGCTCAATGGAGGTTCACTGTCACAAAGGTTATTGGTTGGAGATTGGTATTACTGGGCTGGAAGGACATGCCAAGTGTGTTCCCATATGAACTCCGGGTGTTTTCTAAGGGGAATAGTTCTCCCTTTAGAAACCCAGCTCAACAAAGAGCAGGTGCTTTTGATTTCTAGAGAAACCTGATCAAGATAAGATCTCTCCTACAATTTCTTGGAGTGGGGACCCAGGTACATGATACACCTTTCAAGAGCAAGTTGAATGAAGTTGGGAAGCGGAGGCAACTTTTGTGGCAAGCTGGTCTCTAGATGCTGAATTTACATAAGAAACAGAACAGGATAAAACATACTTGGGCCAAACAGTATTTGATACTTGCTCTGATAAAAGGTAGGAGGGTCCTATTATTTCCTGGTAATTACCCACCATTCTATTGCCCCACCCACCCCCTCTCTGCTTGCCAAAGCTCTTCTCCCTTCCCAGGATGAAGATGGACTGGGAGGGGTGCCACTGCGAAACGGAAGGCAAAAGCAACATCTCCCAAAATTTTGGTAAGATTTTTGACCATCCCAGCACCTTGAAAGAGCCCAAGGTAGTTGACAGACTCATCTGAAAGTGAGATATTTTCCTGTATCTTTCTTTTGCTAATTGCCAGGCAATGGAGAGCACCTGTTTCATTGGATGCTCCCACACAATTTGTGAAAGCTGGTCTGAGTACACAAGGATTGCCATTTGGAAAATTCCAGTTAATATTTTCATTGTTAGATCAGAAATCATACAACGATGGGTCAGGATGATAAATAACACCAGTAAACTCTTGCCGAGGTAACTGATGGTTCTCTGAAAGTAGATTATGAGCATGCATTAAACTCTAAAAGGCTGCTTTATTAACTTATTTTTTAAGGCACACTATTTTGAGTTCATTAAATCTTGGCTTTGTTCAATGGATTCCATTGTTCCCCTTAAGTCCTGAATTGAGCCTTCTTTCACTTTGTGGGAGACTCTGTCTGCCAATTTGCAAATGAGTGGGCATTCCCTTGCAGGCTTCAATAGCTTACTCCCAGGGAATTCACAGTTCTCTGGAGAAAGAGGTGTTCCCCTCAGAAAACACACTTCATAAAGGAGAATTGAGAAGTGAGAAAAGATGCTGACAGTGCATCAAACAATCCAGAGCAAAGAATCCCCCCTCCCCACCCTTCTCCAGGCCCTGCAGTCAGTTTCCCCTTCCCGACACCCAA